ACACACACACACACACACACACACACACACACACACACACACGTGTGCTCACATGTCTTGTGTATTGTCTTGTAAGGACTATTGGTGGAAGAGACAGGGACAAGGGAAAACATTGTTTTGTGTATTGTCTTGTAAGGACTATTGGTGGAAGAGACAGGGGACAAGGGAAAACATTGTCTTAAATATTGTCTTGTAAGGACTATTGATTAAAGAGACAGGGACAAGGGAAAACATTGTCCTAAATATTGTCTTGTATATTATCTTGTAAGGGTCACTGGTTGAAGAGTGATAGGAGGAAAAACATTGTCTTGTAGGGACAGTTGAATGAAGAGACAGGGACGAAGGAAAACATTATCTTAAATACTGTCTTGTAAAGATTACTTGTTAAAGAGACGATGACAAGGAAAACATACATAATCTTGTAAGAATGCTTGAGTATCTTTTATAGTCTGCACTATATTAGGCCACAAATCATCATCATCATGTGCCCTGCCAACTGACATAGGCGCTCATGCATCTGCACAGATCACCATTCCTGGTTGCCCGGATGATATCACTCCATGCCATCGCTTCAGCCCATCCAGCATCATCTTGCATGGTCTGCCTCTACCCCTCTTTCCACTGATCTTTCCAGTTGTCACAATGTTTTCCAATGCCTCTCTTCTTATTACGTCTCCAAATAACAGTGTTTGTTTACTTCTTAGTGTTGTGTATAAAGAGATCTACTTTCTTTAGGGCACACATAGGAAGAATGTTACAACTATGTTACTGTGTTACATGTATGTTTTTGGAACGAATAGTCCACAACATCAACTCATATTGGGCTGCATCTACTTTGTAACCTATTGAATAACTGTTATACGCTTTAACAGAATTTCCAGGATTTATTTCGGTTTGATTCTCATCCATGAGGTGCTAATCCTACAGAATGTAATCCTGAAAGGGCAAGTTAAAAAAAATATAAGAAAAGCTTTTTGATTGTACAACTTGTAGTAAGAGAGGCAGAGATCTGTGCATTAGCCTGGAGTTCTGTAGTCCTGATTATTGTTGAACCTTCTGTGACAAGTAAGAGAATAATCTCATTAACACTTGAAGTTCAGAAATCAATAGCCGCCCTAGGCCTTTTTCTTCTTCTTTTATTCCACCTTGTACCTCGGCGAAGAGAGAGAGAGAGAGAGAGAGAGAGAGAGAGAGAGAGAGTGTGTGTGTGTGTGTGTGTGTGTGTGTGTGTGTGTGCGTGCGTGCGTGCGTGCGTGCGTGCGTGCGTGCGTGCGTGCGTGTGTGCGTGTGTGTGTGTGTGTGTGGGGGGGGGGGGTGTTGATGTAACATTCGTTGATGAGCTCTGTCAAGAGCACTTTTAAGACTGATGATAATTAATGTACGGCTGCTCTTAATGCCATCACTCTATATTTTCGGAGGTCTTCCACTCGCTCTATACACAATGTTTTAGTGTGGCTCGCTGTGGCAGATAGTCCCAGGGCATTCTTGTTAGGTGTCCAGATCACTTCATTTGTTGTTCTTTGATGACCTGTAAGACTGGCTTTATTCTTAGCATTCGTCTGATTTCGTATTCTGTCTTTCCTTGAAACTCCTGCAGCTCTTCTAAGGCATTTAATCTCTTTTGTCACCCTAGGCCTGCACTCTTGAAACTCAGTATATATAATAAACAGACAATGTATTGATTGGCACTCATAGAAAGAAGTAGACAGACAGAAGGACACACTAGACAACATAAAAATTGGAAGCTATGGTTACCATGGCGGGACTTGGAAACTCACTTGGAGCTGTCAGTTTTAGCAGCCCTGTCACAGTTCAGTCAACATTGCCTGATAAAACAGCATTTGTTCAAACATCTCTAGCTGATTCCTATTGATTTATTTATTTGTGATCTATGTTTTTATAGAATCTGGCCCCTGTGTCAGCAAAATGAGGTCAAAGCTCCGGGGAAATTAACACCTTTTTATGAATATTCATGTCATTTCGCCACATATTGATATAACAATCTGTAGCTATAAGTGTCTGTCGTCTGTATGTTGTGCCCTGTAAATATGTTATCTAACATAAGTTGCCTTGTAGAGATAAGAAAAAGAATTGACAGCACTGTCTTGGAGCAGTCATAGCATCTGAGACAAGGTCTCTTGTAGAGAGAGTTGAGTTGAGTCAAGAATTGACATTCCAGCACTCGGGGCGTTCCCGTGCATGCTCCGTCCTCATCTTCAGCAGTCAGCGCAGTGTTCCAGTACTGATAGTAAAGGTCACAATCTGGTTATATGTCCGTCTTGCCTTTCCTCTGAGTGTTGTGAGCCAGCCAGACCTTTTGGATACAACTAGATGCCTCATTCTCCCCAGGCCATACAATTCTTCTATCTCTGCTGATTCAGTTGCTTGTTCCAAAGGGCCTTAACCTCATCTGCCTTGTCATGTATCAATTCACCACTCTTTGTTGCAGATCCAGCCAATCTGTCTGTCTGTTTATTAACCCACCACGCCGGCATAGCCTGGAGAAAAGATCCAAAATATGCTCACTATCTGTGACCTTTCCAGTGCAGCTTGCCACTCTGCTCGAAGCATCTCTGTCTTCACCTTTCTCAGCATGCTTTCAGAGTCTGTTACAATTACGTCATGTGTATGCATCTTGTCTGTAATTTAGTTAGTTAGTTGGGTTATCATCATTGCACTCCGGACATGTCTATAGGTGCTCAAATCCCCCCCCCCCCTCAGTATGAACCCCAACGTCCGATGGCTAATACTACCAGTTCTGGTGTATGGTCTCGTTTTTTGCTATGTGGATCTTAATTTCAAAGTCTGCTATTCTGGCGAGGGATGTGGATTCAACGCCCCCAAAGTCCTCTATCCTTTCCATTTCTCCGAGGGCATTAATAATATCAGCATGATTTATAGGCTGACCGTCGGTAGTGATAGCGGATCCAGCCAACCTATCAGCTCTTTCATTTCCATCGACACCTGCGCTCCCGAAACAAAAATAAAGGTGACTCCACGCACAGTGGACTTCTGTAATGATTCAAGCCATTGTCTTCGCACTGAACCTGCCTGAACCCTCCGGATCATACTCATTGAATTACTAAGTATACATACGCGGGTGTAGTTTTGTGTTTCGAGCCGGGCGAACGCTTGCGTCATGCCATTACCTCCTTCGTCATGCTGCTGGTTGTCATGGAGAAGGCGGTGTTGGCTTCTTTGACTGTTTTGACCGCTGAGCGTGCTGTGAATGCCCATGCGCTTCTTTTTTGGCGTATAACGGATCTGTCTGTGTAGATTAGTGCATCTTCTTCTTCTGAATTTTCACTGATGAGAGCGTTGACCTCTGCATTAACAGCAACAGGATTCTCTTCTCTGCATCGCCTGTTGAGTGTGACAATACAGGAAAATTTACAAATAAACGCATGAGGCACAGGTATCCACTCTGCACCAGTGGTGATGTTGGTTAGGCTGCATATTTGCCTAATAAAATCTCCCGACCTAGCCATAATTTTCCCCTCTTCAGCTTGTCGCCCTTTTCATTAAAAAGTGCTTTATATAGTGTAGCCACCGACAAGCTGCAGTTACAGTCTACACGTTCAGTCTCATGGTAGATGTTGTGGTGTCCTATGCCAAGCTGTCTTGCACTAAAGATTCTTGTAGAGATTAGAAAAAGAATCTGTCTTGGAGCATTCGTAACATCTGACACAGTGTACCTTGTAGAGATTAGAAGAAAAACTGGTACAACTATCTTGGAGCAATCATAGCTTCTGACACAATGTGCCTTTTAGAGATTATTGCTCTGGATAAAGAGTCCATTCACATATTGAGCATAAACAGAAGTTTATTCCTGTCCACACCTAACAATAACATCATGACTCTTGACCCGTTAGGTTCATAAAGGTCTGTCGATGGAAGCGCTAGTACATAAAACCCGCCATCTTTCTCTGTCTTCCACTTGTTAAAGAAATGTGTAATAATTTGACAAGAATTGCCATGGAAAGTATTTGTCTGCAACCAGCTACGCGATGTGGTGAGAAAAAGTGTCTTACATTGTGTTATAGCAGTGGTTCTCAAACTGGGTGCTAGTGGCACCCAGAGGTGGCGCGAGCGTATGCCCGGAGTGCCATGGCAATAATCAAGAATTTGTCCAAATCTGCTTGAGATCAGCGAAGACGGCAGTTTAAAACAGAAATAGAAGAGGAAGCCGAGAAAAGTTCTGGATGCAGGAGTACACAGAAAATAATGCTGTTGGCAAGGTTGCAGTGTGTTCTTAACGTACCCTTACACTAAAAACAGATACAGAAGCAAACCTTCTGGATCAAGTGATTTGATGGTAAATCAACTAAACTTCCCAAAAACATAAAGGAAATGATGAAAAATTCCTCCAAACGGTTTCATTCATCGCATTAAAGACAACTGATCATTAAATGTGCACTGTTTTTTCTTCTTGTTTTCCTGAGTATTCAACCCGCTTTAAGGGTAGGTGTGCCTCAAATTTTTTTTTGTTAACAAGGGAGCCGTGGCGAAAAGTTCGAGAACCGCTGTATTATAGGATATAGACTTTTCTATTGTCTTTGGTGTTTTTAAAAAAAAAACTAGATTCATATTATTTATGTTGTTTAATGTAAACATAACCTGCCTTGAATAAACAGTACAATTACTTCATGAGAGCTGAAGTGTTTGGAAGGATCAAATATAAAATGGTCATGCATGCCAACATTTGTGATGCTCTGAAAATAAAATTTGTTTGTTTGATTATTCATTTGTTCGTTATTCTTTTCAGTAACTCAAGAATAACAATTAAAGCTAAGAAATTGGAATGTTTGCATTAAAAACTGCACATTTCCCCAACATTCTTCTTGTGTTTTTTGTTCTACACACTGTTACAGATGACAGTTTCATTAACCTGCTGGGTTTTGCAAGTTTTTAAAACAAAATAGAAGTTTATTTGATGTTTGTTATTGGTGGGGAGAATCAGTTTGAGTTATTTAAATCTTGTTTTTTTTCTTTCTCAACAGCATGCAGCAGAGCTGGAGAAGAAACAGAATGAAGCAGAGATCAAAAAGCTTAAGGGAACAGAGGTCCAGTACAGTCATGTCATTCAGGTAGATGATAGGGGGGTCCCGTGATTGTTGTTGTCTGGTAGAGATGTGACACTGAGTGGGATTGTCTCTGGAAGTGCCCAATGTGGGACTGGAGTCCTTGACATGTTGAAACTGGATATGGGGTGGTTCAGTCTCTGAGGGGGTGTCCATTTTCTGGCTTTTGTGACCAACATGGTAGCTGGATAGTCCAGTGTTGAGAGCTGTCTGTTGTAGGACTAATGTGATTGGCATTTAAAAGTCTAATTTCTGAGGTTTCTAAGGGTGTCTGTTCATTGTGGGGCTGTTACTGTTGTTATTAGAAACTGGACACTGATTGGGCAGTCTTTAAGGGTGTCTGTCTATTCAGGGCTTATGTGATTGGCATGTAGAGATTGGCTTTTTCTATTTTGGATAGTCTAGTCTCTGGAATGTCCACTGTGGGACTGTTGTGAGAGAAATGTAGATGCTTTCTAAGAGTGTCTAGTTAATTTCCAGGAGTCGCTGTTGTGGAGCCATAGTGATAGTCAGGGAAGTTGACTGGAAGGTCCAGTAACTAGAGAATTACATTCTAGACCAGTTATGATTAGACATATAGAAACTGGGAAGCTACTTTTATTTCTGGATAGAGATCACTAGGGCATTACATTCTGAAGCTGTTGTGTTTACTGATGTAGAGGCATGTCTTTTTGTTCTTCATGGTCACGGGCTGTAAACTCCACTAGAAAGTTCTGGTTCTTCGTCTACCTTCGGACTTCAGTCTTGTTCCAGAACCTGAGTGTTGCCTGCACATCCATTTTACCAATCTGACTTATTTGTATGTAGACTGTGCCCGGCTCTCTAGCGCAGTGGGCTAAACTGGATTGCGCGGTGACCGGGTGACGAACTCCTTGTGGTCCGGGTTCACTCCCGAGCTTAGGCAGAAAAGCCATATTTCTCCCAGATTTACGGTATTTACAATGGAATTAAGGCCGAAAGGTTGCGATATCCATAATACCGAGCCTAAGGGTTAACAACTTGTGGCTTCTGGATACTAAAACAAATGTATGTAGACTGTTGGTCTCTCAGGCTGATGCACTCCGACTTCGAAGGAAGCCCCCAGTTAGTCAACTCTTACAACATGCTTATTGGGGAGGATGTGGGTCTGTTCTTGTTGTTCCCCACAATGGGGCCCTGGAACCCACACTGGGGTGGCTTGCTAGTAATTTCAATGTCATGGTAGTTTAGTCTCTGGAAATTTTTCACAGATATATGGTAGTTCAGTTTCCCTTCTCCCATGTAAGTGTAAATTGATCCTTTCATCCTGAATTTGACTTTTTCTTGAGCATTTTGAGCCCCTGCTGCAGATATCACCCGCCTATACTCTTCTCTCTGGTTGGCCTTATCTTTCCATTCGGTGACTCCAAGGTTTGAGGTTTGAACAATAAATCATCATCATGGCACATGGGTAGTAACCCAAAAGTGCTCCGTTCTTCTTTTAACTTAAGTCTGAGTCCGAAGAAGCCCAGCACAGTGCACAGGCTCTGTAGCACCGGCAAGGATCCTGAAATACTTTGAGTAGATTTAAAATCCAGATTTTGCCCAGGCAGCACCGTTAGGCTACTCTTTTAGATTTCCAACTGCCAAGGAATTTTTCTGTGCGTAACAATGTACACAGGTGTCAGATCTCACTAGCCAGAGACCAGGGAGAATTACTAGAAGTCCAAGTCCACATGAAAAACCCAGCCCTTACCAGGGATTGACCCCAGAACCTCTAGCACTCGAGTCGGACACTATGCCTCAAGTTCACACAGCCCCTTACTGGTGACTCCAAGTGTTTGTATATTATCTCTCCACTGTCTTCTTGGTGTGACTCATGGTCTACTTTCTCTTTTGTCGGGTTTTGTCTCTCTGTTCCCTCTTCATTTTCTTTAAATGCTGCAGTCACCACAGTCTGTTAATCCTCGTGATCCCAGTAATTAGTGGTGTTTTTAACAAATTTCACAATATGTGGGTTCCAGAGCCCCATTGTAGGTGGGTGGTCGGGGAGGGAGGGGGGGGGGGGGGGGGGGAATTGATCCACTTCTTCCCTGACAAGCATGTCATAATAATGGACTAGGAGTGTTTTCTTTTACAGTCAGAGTGCATCTGCTTGAAAGCTGAGAGACCAACAGTCTGCATTTAAATATCCCAACGTGCACACAAAACTGAAGTTCTGGAACATGATGACAGTCCAGAAGTGGATGAACAACCAGAACATTTTGCAGGAGTTAACAGCTGGTGAATGCAAAGAAGATCCTAACTATAATGTTGTCCTTTTTCCGTAACAAATATTGTTATTGATGAATGCTCTTCTCTACCCTGGCCAGTTGTTACATGTGAAGAGCAACAAGTTTCTGACAGTCAACAAGCGCCTGCCGGCCCTGCTGGAGAAGAATGCCATGAGGGTCATTCTGGACAGTGCTGGCAACGAGGGCTCCTGGTTCTACATCCAGCCCTTCTACAAACACAGTTCCCCGGGCGACAAAGTATGTTGTTGTCTTACCTATAATTATGCTTTATTACGTGTGGATACAAGATGTATGAATAAATATGTATCCCTTGTGAGACATATTGAAATATGTAGTGATATACTTCATGAGATAGTAGGTACGCATGTAGTAAGCATAAATTAGTGTAAGGGGCAGGGTTTATGAAGATCACAGGCCAGAAAAGACAAACGTGAGGTTTAATATGATGAGTGGGAAGCAGGAGAATAACTGAGTGATGCTAGGATAATGTGTGGGAATTGAAGGGATGAGTAGAAGAGTGAGAAGACTAAGAAGCATTCTTAATTTGGCAAGTATAGACTCTTAATTTGGCATTTGGATGAGTCCAAGTATAGAATCTTAATTTGGCATTTGGATGAGTCCAAGTATAGAATCTTAATTTGGCATTTGGATGAGTCCAAGTATAGAATCTTAATTTGGCATTTGGATGAGTCCAAGTATAGAATCTTAATTTGGCATTTGGATGAGTCCAAGTATAGAATCTTAATTTGGCATTTGGATGAGTCCAAGTATAGAATCTTAATTTGGCATTTGGATGAGTCCAAGTATAGAATCTTAATTTGGCATTTGGATGAGTCCAAGTATAGAATCTTAATTTGGCATTTGGAAAAGTCCAAGTATAGAATGAATGTGGATGTACCAGCAAATGAAATCTACTCAAGCAGCCTACAGCTACGTGTACCTGGCCATCTGATAGAGAACATAGTTGCAGTGGAGCTGGCATGAGAGTGGAAAACATCACATTTATGTTTGCTGACACTGTCCACCAGTGTGTGTGGAAGTCATGGATGTGTGGAAGTCATTGATGTTTGCTGACACTGACCACCAGTGTGTGTGGAAGTCATTGGTTGACAGAAGATTTTATACTGTTAGTAGGAGTACCAAGTTTAATATATGCGATCGAGTTGAAGGTACTTTTTGTTTTGTTCACCCCATCTCAAGGACTCTGAGATTTCATGTTGAGTTCCCAGGAAATTCTTCTTCTTCTTCTTCTTCTTCTTGTTCACCGGCTGTGAATTCCGGCGGTAAGTCACGGTTGTTCGTCCAAAATGGACTTTTGGCTTTTACCTTGACCTGAGTTTTGCGTGTACATCCGTTTTACTGGCTTATTTGTTTGCAGTACTCGTTCCCCGCCTCTCCGGCAGATGTACTCCGACTTCGGAGGAAGAGTTCCCAGGAAATAAATGTTGAATGTTGAATTAAGAATCGACATCACAGCACTTGGGAAACCCCCCATAAGTGGCTCTATCTGTGCCTCCTCACTGTTCACCCGCTTCCAAAGGGAGCAATATTTAGCTTGTCATACATCAGTTTAGCAGTAAAGGTCAGTATTTGCAAATCACTGGTATTGTCTGTCTTCTTACACAGATTTGAGAGCTGGACTCTGACTGCAGAAATGGAAAGGAGGATTCAGGCTTTCAAACATAAATGTTGTAGATAAATTTTTACTAATGAGCTGTTTAGAACATGAAACTAACAAATATGCAGGACATTAGCAGCCTCTCTTGGCAGTAATGAAACGTCACAAGCCAGCTTGGTTTGGGCACATGATGGGACATGATTCGGCTGCAAAGACTATAACTTCAAGGAACATTGAGGGTAGTTGAAGAAAAGTGGGGCAAAGAAGAACCAGGAATGAAAACATGAAGAAACGGACAGGACTAAGTTATTATACTGTTGTTCAGCAAGCGAAAGACAAGGAAAGATGGCGGTTTTTGTGCACTCGTGCTTCCATCGATACTCTTCCATGACCCTAATGGGTCAAGGGTTACTTTATGTTGTGTTATTTTTAAGTTTCGATTTGATTAGACTTCTGCCTATGTTCAGTATGTGAATAAATACTTTATACGAGTACAGAGCAAGAGCTTAGTTAGATATTAAATCATGTCTCCTGATGCTAAACAGATTGTGGTGGGTGACAAGGTTGTACTGAACCCAGTGAATGCAGGGCAGCCCCTGCATGCCAGCAACTGTGACTTGGTGGACAATCCTGGCTGCAAGGAGGTGAACTCCGTCGGCAGCAACACCTGCTGGAAGGTCCTGCTCTTCATGGACTACAAGGAGAATCAGGAGGATGTGCTTAAAGGGGTCAGTCAGTCAGTTCTTCTTCTTCTTCAGATTTGCAGTGTTGTCTTTGGTATGGGCTTCACTGTCTTTTATAATTCACTCAGCGACCGGTAAAGTTTGGTTTCCACTGATGTTTCTTTTAACCACCAGTTCTGATATGTTGTATTTTGGACAGTCTTAAAGTGCTAGTGTTATCAAATTTATTTCATTCATCTGCTTGTCTCATGACAGCATTTTGTTTGTATGGGTGTCTCTTTGATGATAACATACTACCTGTTGTTTCTACAAGATTGACTAAAACAGCATCTCACCTTGGAAGCTGAAATATTTTGGCTGTTTCAAGCCATCACAGCGGATTGGAAAAAAATAATAGCAGAAGGCATGGTACCTGGAAGGAGAGGCAGGGCTGATAACATTAAGATGTGGCATAGGATAGGACTCTGGATATGAAAGTCCATAAGGTGGGAAAACTGGCGAGAGACAGTTTTTTTTTCTTCAGGCAGACTATGATGAGAGCCGCGTTCTGCAAAGGATCTGCTACTTGATGATGATGATTGCTTCTACAATTCCATGGCAGAATGCTTACTCAGTGACAGGATAATGTTTAGTTCATCACTTTTTCATAAGAAAGATGATACTTTGTTCATAACACATTTAATGATAAGATGATACTTAATTTGTCTTGTTATCTTATGATGGGATGATGCTGTTTATTGAGATTGTGTAGTAGTAGTCAGAGTTTCAGCTTTACTGCAAACTAGTCACAAGCACACACACCCCTCCCCCTTCCCACAACCACCACCCATTTTTGCTCCATTCCCATGCCAGTAAAAACCCTATGTGATGTCCTTTACTTTTCCGTTGGAAAAGTAGAAAATAAACAGTTAGTCCCAGAAATATCTAGAAAAATGCACGCACAGCAAATTCATAATTCTGTTGCTAGAGATGTCAACACCAACATCCTTCACCAGAACTGAAATTTGTTATTGCTGGAAGTAAGTAGATAGTTATTGTAAGCTTCCTGTACACATGCAAAATTACTGTATAAGGTATTTTGCTACCCCGCCATTTTCTGAATATAATTCACAACGGCACTGGATACAAACAGAAGATATGCTACACAAAAAACACAGTGCTACACCAAGCTTTTAACTCAGTAGCTTAGAAAGTGAAAACCATAGACTCCAGTCTGTATGTCAAACCTGTATTAGCAAACAATTGCTAGAAGCAAACATAACTTCAAAGCTGAAAGGAGAATCATGCTTATCTGCCATACTAGATAAGAAGCCTGACTGAAATTATGTTATTTTTATTATTCCATGACATGATGTACTAATTCAAGCTATGTATCTGAATACTTTTGTTAAAAAGTGGTTGATTACCCCTGCATCATTTCATTTTAGGATGAAACTTATTAACTCTTTAAGTCGCAAGCAGTGCCTGATGTGTTTAATGAATCTGCCCTTTGATTTCCCTCCATAGCACAGTGTGCTTTTAATTTTTGGAATATTTGTCCAGAGCACACTAAAGAAATCTGGCTTTCCAAAATGGTCACTGCTACTTTGTATATTGCCATTTTTAAACTAATACATTCACGATTTTTCTTTATCGTTATTTCTTCACTTTGGACTCTTTTGTGAAACCTTCTGATACCAAAAGAATGATACTTTTTTCCCTTGGCAGATGGATGCCTGTCTCTTGAGTAAGGTAAAGGACCCTTTTCCACACCTTCAGGTATCTTGGGCATATAGGGCTAGACCTATATTTTATAGACCATGTTTTAGCTGTGTGGTCAACATCATGGTCACCACCTTTACTTCCCAGGACTTTACCTGGTACCCATTTAAGGCTGGGACGACCTGGAAGCTGAGGTCATTTTTGGAGAGAGAGAAAAGTCAGGCTGTGTCCGGACCTGAACCCACAACCTTCAGATCCGCAGGTGAGTGTCTAGCCGCTACACCACGACGTCTGTCCTTGTCTCATGAGCTTATGGCATAATTCAGTGATACTTATTTGCTCAACTGACAGGGTGATGTGGTGCGGCTGTTTCATGCAGAACAGGAAAAGTTCCTCACTGGAGATGAGTACAAGAAGCAGCAGTACGTGTTCCTGCGCACCACAGGCAGGACCTCGGCCACAGCCGCCACTAGCTCCAAGGCATTGTGGGAAGTCGAGGTAGTCTTCATGTGTTGGTTCACATCTTTATTTTCCTCTGCTTCTTCCTGCTCATGCTCTTCCTCCTCGTCTGTGTGGTGTTTCTCTGGCATCTCCTCTCTCCTTTTCCTTTTACCTACTTTTTCTGTATCTGCTGCTGCAGTAGTCAACTATGTCATTGTTTCAGAAAAAATGGAAAGGACCCTTTTCACACCATCAGATGTATTGGGTGTATAGGGCTAGACCTGTATTTTATAGACCAAACGGCACTTGTTGGGTTATGTGGTCAGCATCACGCCGACCGCCTCTACTTTCCAGAATTGCACCTGGTATCCACTCAAGGCTGGGTCAATCTGGGAGCCAAGGTCATTTTAAAAAAAGTTCCGTCCCCGTCAGGACCTGAACTCACAACCTTCAGATCCGCATAGCTAATTGTTATTTTCTAATTCGCCCACATCATCATCATCATTGTCCTATTGTGCCCTTGTATGCCACACAAGGCTCACAAAGTTTGTTTACTCCATTCCGTTTTTTATGTGCAGTCTCTTCAGTATCATGGATGCATTCCAGCCCAGCAGCCTGTCTCATCAGTGTTCGTTTTATGGTTCCTTTTGGGCATCCTTGCCTCCTCAGCCCCTTTCTTTCCCATTTTAGTGCCTCTTTTATTCTCGCACATGCTGTTCAGATCATGTATATGTGCAGTTTTAGATGATTCTTATGGACTGCTGCTTAGCACTTGATCAACAGAAAACAGGAATTTACTAGTGATATTAATTGGGGTAGCGGCAGGAGGGATCTGAAAAGGAGCGACAGTATCCGTGTATGCATGCTTGTCGGTTAGGGTTAGATGCAAGAACGCTGACAGGCGAAGTCATGAAATAAGAACACCGCTTGCAAACAGGGCATAATGATAGCGCTAAAAGAACGAAAGTAACAAACAATGGAAAGGATGATGCAGTAAATGATGAACACGCTGAAAACAACCAACACATGACAGGCCTAGAATATAAGTTTTAGTGTTGTAAGTTACTGTTAGATGAACACTGACTTAGACTAATCCTACACCCCCTACCCCTCCTCCTCATCCCCCCTTACTATAGGACCTTCTGGGCAAACCCTAGGAATTTCTTACCAAATCTCTCAGCTGATGAGATACAGTGAAAAAGCTTAAAAGAACCCATTATTTTTTATAACGTGTGTACCCAAAAGAGTTGATAATAGATTTGATATAATTCCTAGTTTATATTGACAGTTGAGCATGAGTATATATTTTTGTTTTTATACCAGGTTGTACAGCATGACCCATGTCGTGGAGGTGCTGGCCACTGGAACAGTTTGTTTCGGTTCAAACATTTAGCGACAGGACAGTATCTGGCTGCTGAGGTAAGCCAACAATAATACATTCAAACTGCTTTCACTTCTGGGCATGTTATTTCCTTATTCCCTGTCTTACTGTCCACCTTATGTTGACTCTTGAAACAGTGTGGATGCTGAAAGTACTCCAGGGTAATATCTTGCTGACAAGTTCAGGCTACATATTTCCTGTATGGAAAAAAAACAACGCCCTCAGATGAGTGGCTGCCCATTATCTTCTTTTTCTTTGCATTTACCGGCTGTCAACTCCGGTGGAAAGTTCTGGCTACTTGCCCACTTTCAGACTTTTGCCTTGTTCCAGAACTTGGTTTTGTCTGCACATACATTTTACAGATCTGTTGATTTCTCAAATTTACTCCAACCTAACTCATGACCCTGCTTGGGGCATGGATTGTGGTTGGCGGAAAGTTTACAAGTCCAGCACGAGATAATTGAAGTGAAGCGAGAGGAAGCCCGAGCTGGACTCGTGGTCAACAGGAGAAGTCGAAGACTATTCGTCTTTTATGTTTTGCGACATGTTAATGTTCGAATTGTAAGGAAAAAGGCAGTGAAGGTTTGAACATGGGAAATGAATGGACCAGAATTCAGAATGTTGTTTTCCCACGTTAAAGTAGTGCAGTTTTGTAGCAACAGAGAGTCGTGGCGAAAGCCAATAGGTAGTAAGCCCCCACAGTAAGCCAAGGTTTATTACAAATGGGTGCTCGTATAGCATTTACCATTCGCAACATAAAAGACGACATCCTCAATTCCTACAACCGTCTTCTCTGACTTCTCCTGATCGACTGACCACGAGTCCAGCTCGGGCTTCCCCTCGTTTCCTCGACTAGACCCAATTATCGCGTGCTGTCACTTGTAGCATGGACTTTCTGCCGGCCACAATGTACTCGTGGAGGCCATGCAAAGCGGGGTCATTACAACATGCTTGTAAGGAAGGCAGCGGGTCTGTCCTTTGTTTTCCCACCCATTTGGGCTCCAGAACCCCCACATGACCTTATAATATAGCATCTCTTTTGTAGAACGTCGCTCTCATTACGGTCTGCCTGAAAGAAACTCGGTCTCTGTCAGCCCTCCCGCCTCGTATACTTTCACATTCGAGGAGTCCTTATATCCTGTGCCCATCTTTGTGTTGGTCGGCCCCTGCCCCTCATTCCTGGTACCATGCCTTCAGCTATTCTTCTTTCCAATCCATCATGGCGTGTGATATGACCACAATATTTCAGCTTCTGAGATAAGATAAAGTTTAATAGTCAACCTACCCCTTTTAAATTTCACTGATTTGTTTGGGCACCGAGGTCAAAACATTAAATTTAGCCACTCAGATGGCAATTCTCTTGGGAATTCTCTCATGCATCGGTTGTTCTCTGTCTCCCTTATAAAAGCTATAATGTTTAATGCAGTTCTGTCTTTAAAAAAAACAAAAAACAAAAACAGTTGGGTTACGTTGCCTGGCGTAACCTAACTAGCAACCAATTCTTTCTTTGTAGGTCAGGCCTTGTATAATATCTTACTGGTGCGAGAGTCGTGTAACCGCAGAGTTGCTACAGTTCAGGCATATGAGTAGATTTTCTGACAGGCCTCAGCATTAAGCTCAGTGATTGGATGTATTATGGTTCATAATTGTATTGTTGTCTGCTTGTATCATATGCTGAGAAAGCCTTCCTTGCCACAACATTGAATTTGTTTGTTTGTGTGATTGTAGTTACGTGAAGTTGACTAATTCTGCTTCTTCTATGGATTGATATCTTTTAATAGTTTTAAGTGCGAGGCACAAGTAGATCATCACAGTCTGAGAAGAATGGTACAGTCAGGAGTCGCCTTGTGATGTGGCCAACACCCAACACTCAGAGGAAAGGCAAGGGTGCCATGGGTTTTAAAACTCTGTGCCTGCTGCTGAGGAGGGAGACTGTCCCCCTGTGTGAGTTTGGGGGTCCCATTGTGGAGCGGGGGGAGGGGGGGGGAACAAGAATAGACCCACTGCCTCCCCAACAAACAGGTCATAAGAGTTGACTAACTGGGAGGCTTCCTTTAAAGTTGGAGTACATCTGCCTGAGAGGCAAGAAACCAACAATCTGCATACAGTTAAATCATACCTGTTAAACAGATGGGCACACCACGCTCAGGTTCTGGAACAAAACTGAATTAAGAGTTGGACAAACAACCAGAATTTTCCACCGGAGCTTACAGCCAGTGAAAGAGAAGAAGAAGAAGAAGATTCTTAAGTCATCATTCAATGTTCTTAATTTAAGGTACTTTCCATACGTGTTAGACCAAGAGAGGAAGGATTAAACATGATACTAATGCCTCCCAGGACAGAAAAGGAAAGTATCAGCAGACTATATGATGACTGTACAGCCTACTGTAGAGTAAGAAAGACTTGCAATGAAGGGAATCAACACTTATTTCACTACATTATTGGTCGTTTTAAATGCAGGTGGATAATGATCCGACTCCAGATGTGACCCGAAGCAAGTTGAGAGGTCAGCCCAACCTGCCAGTGTATTGTTTGGTGTCAGTGCCACATGGCCATGACATTGCTTCCATTTTTGAGCTGGATCCAACGACCATGATCAGAGGAGACTCGCTTGTACCCAGGTTAGTTTGTGTGTGTGTGTGAGAGAGCGAGGGGGGGGGGGGGTGTCTAAACAGAATGTAGATAGCCTAGAGAAGAAGGAGAGACAGAAAAAAAGCATAGCAGAGAGAGCAGCAGCAGCAAAAAAGAGTGAAAGTTTAAGAGAAATTGAAAGTGTGTCGGAGATAAGAGACAGTGAAAGAGATAGTGATGGAAAGTGACAAAAAAAGGCAGAATAGAATGACATAATGTGCTAGCCCCAGCTGCACTAGCCTCCAGCTGAGCTAGCCCCCAGCTGAGCTAGCCCCAGCTGCACTAAGCCCCAAATAAGATAAGCCCCCAGCTGCACTAGCCACCAGCTGCACTAGCCCCCAGCTACACTACCAGCCCCCGGTTGAGCTAGCACCCAGCTGCATTAGCCCTCAGCTGAGCTAGCCCCAGCTGCACTAGCCCCCAACTGAGCTAGCCCCAGCTGCACTAGCCCCAGCTGCACTAGTCCCCAGCTGTATTAGGCCTAGCTGCACTATGCCCCAACTGCACTAGGCCCTAACTGCACTAGCCCCCTGCTAAGCTAGCCCCCAACTGAGCTAGCCCCAGCTGCACTAGCCCCCAGCTGCACTAGTCCCCATCTGTTCTAGGCCCAGCTGCACTAGGCCCCAGCTGCACCAGCTTCCAGCTTAGCTAGCCCCCAGCTGCACTAGCCACCAGCTGCACTAGCCCCCAGCTTAGCTAGCCCCCAGCTGCGCTAGGCCCCAGCTGTACTAGCCCCCAGCTTAGCTAGCCCCCAGCTGCACTAGCCCCAGCTGCACTAGCCCCCAGCTGCACTAGCCCCGCAGCTGCACTAGCCCCCAGCTGCACTAGCCACCAGCTGCACTAGCCCACAGCTGCACTAGCACCCAGCTGCACCAAGCCCCACATGAGGGCATCCGCACACCCGCTACAGTTCACTGTTAGGATTTTTTACACAAGTAAAAGAAATATGATATAGCCTACCAGTAGTCCTAGAGTAGTGCAATTATTTGTCTTCTTCTTCCCCCCCTCCCCCCTCAATATGATATAACCTGCTGTAGTCCTATGTAGTGCATTTATTTTTCTTCTCCGCCCTCCCTTCCCTTATTCCTCTTCCTCCTCCTCTTCCTGATCCATTCCTTTCTCCTCCTCCCTCATCTTCTTCTTCCTCCTCCTCCTCCTCCTGATCCATTCCTTTTCTCATCCGCCCTCATTTTCGTCTTCCTCCTCTTCCTGATCCATTCCTCTGCTCCTCCTCCCTCATCTTCTTCTTCCTCCTCCTCCTCATGTTCCCTTCACATAGAAGCGCTAAACTCCAGCATAAAGTCCTAGTCATTTGTCAACTTCTGGACTTTGGTCTTGTTACAGGACTTGAGTCTTGCATGCATATCTGTTTTACAGATCTGACTTATTTGTCTGCAGACTGTTGGTTAATTCCCTCTAAGGCAGTTTCCCTTTGACTTTGGAGAAACTGCCAGTCCTCTACATGTTGGCCAGGCTGCTGCCCAGTTGGAAATCCATTTAATGATGACCTTCTTCGGTAGTGTCAACCCTGATGGTGTGGTGCACCACCACATATGGTTTTAGCATCTGTGCATTTCCAAGGGCTAGACATCTAACCTTCTCAGACAAGGAGAATAACTCTTTAAGTCCTTAGTATTGCATCATACATTCAAAGGTTCCTTTCTAGAAGCCCAATGAACACAAGATGCACTGATTTTACATCTCTCTAATACCCCTTGAGCCTCTGATGCTAAACCTCCTGGGACTGAAAGAGTTAATTGTGATGTTCAGTATACATACTGCTATTCTATGTTAGTTTATTGATCTTACAATCCAACGAGTACATTAATACTTGAACATATTAGAACATGTAATCTGTGTTATTTTTTCTGTGAAATTATGAGAGAAAAAAAAAACCCCAAATAAAATGGTCTTGCTTGCAGGCACACCTACGTACGTTTGCACCACTTGTGTACAGACTCATGGGTACACAGCACCTCCATACCACTGGACAAGGAGGAGGACAAACCCATCATGAACAAGGTAACAATGTCCACAGACAAAACTGCATCTGGCACCCAACAAGTAACAATAGATGATCAAGATGCCTCAAACTAAATATCTAGGCTCCATAATAAATAGCAGTCAAGACTGTTCAACACAAGTCGAAAGGAAGATGGCTACAGCAATACATAGATGAAACAACATTTAAAATCTGTGGCTGGGAACCAGCAAAGAAATCAAAGTCAGAATTTTTAGAGCATGCATTTTCCCTGTGGCAACTTAAGATGTAAGTCATTGAGAAAGAAAATAGGGGCTTTTGAGTTAAAACACTACAGAAAGATTCCCAGAATACAGGGACAAAGAAGAAAATGACATCCTGAAAGATCTAAACGTCAAGGAAGATTGGCAAGTAAACAGCATCTTGCCTCAGATGCTGCAATGTTTTTTTTTAACATATCAAGTATCACAGCGGATTGGAGGAAAGATTATAGTAGTAGGCATTGTACCAGGGGGAGGGGGGGGGGGGGGGGGAGTGTAAATATGGGCACTGGATATATGGGTGCATGAGAGATCAAGTTTCTTTCAGGCAGAACGGGATGAGAGTGACATTCTGCAAAGAACCTGCTACATGAACAAGGTAATTGAGATGTCTCAGAAGTATGGTATGCTGGGGAGGGGGGGGGGGGAGGGGAGGGGATGAACGATGGGGACTCAGGATGTCTGTGTTTCTTCTTCTTCGTCTTCTTCTTCACTTCCTCTTTTACCGCTGTGGGTGTCGAGGGAGATATAAGGTTCTGTTTCTAGCTCTTCTGGCTGCCTCGACCATAGGCACATCGTGCTGTTGTAGAGTTTCTCTGATGTTATCCTTCCATCTTGTTCTTGGTCTACCCCGTAGACGTCCTTCTTCTCTTTCCATGTATGCTTTGTATGGTATGTGTTTCAAGTACATTATTATAATTTTGTGGAGTGGCTCAAGGGAACTGAGGGCCCAGGTTAGGGCACCTGTGGTTTAAGGGCCCCATGGAAAAGTTGAGGGGGGAGGGGGGGGGTGTGAATAGACCCAAGGCTTCTTAACATGGTTGTGAAAGATGACTAATTAATGTTTTCTGAGATTGGATGTTAGTTAGTTAGTTAGTTAGTTAGTTGGGTTATCCTCATTGCACTCCGGACATGTCCATAGGTGCTCAGATCCTCCCCTCAGTATGAACCCCAACGTCCGATGGCTAATAGTACCAGTTCTATGTTGATTAACAAGTCTTCTGGCGTGTCTGGTGTGCGTCTCGTTTTTTGCTGTGCCGATCTTAATTCCCAAGTCTGCCATTCTGGCGAGTGATGTGGATTCACTGCCACCAAAGTCCTCTATCCTTCCCATTTCTCTGAGGGCATTGATAATATCAGCATGATCCATAGGCTGACCGTCGGTAGTGATAGCGGATCCAGCCAACCTGTCAGCTCTTTCATTTCCATCGACGCCTGCGTGTCCCGGAACAAAAATAAAGGTTGAGATTGGATGTATTAGGCCGAAAGGAATATCACATTCTAGCTGTAAACCACATCACAGTGTGCCAACCACCCTTTTGAGGACTTGCGCAGAAGAAGAAGAAGAAGAACTCTGTTCCTCTGCGATAGTTGATTACCTGGTGTAATGATCTCACTCGTTGTCTAGTGGGTGTTTCTGTGTGTGTCGTGAATGTTCTTATCACACACTCTACGTTACATAACTGGTACAAGCCGATACCGACTTAGCCATACGAAACATCAGTTTATTGGCATGTTACAACTTACATCTGAATCCAGTCGTTGTCCTAATAACAGCTCTCACACACCACTTCACGCAGCCTTCAACAAGCAGGTTCCTCACGCATTCACTAACCAGAGTCTGCCCTGATGCATCTCGTTGATCTTCGGAACATTCCACAGACTGGCCTGGCTGATCTTGACTTCACACGTCGTCTTCTGATTCTCCTTTCACCACAGCAATCTCACGTTGACATTCATACGCTCAGTCTCCCGTCCTTTCGCTCCAACAAGTCGACACAAACTAACTTGATCAGAATCAAGTCTGAGCTTATACCATGGGTTAGTTTCACGTGGCAACACGTGGTGGTCCTTTACTTCCACGTGGCGACCTTTGGTCGCGTCATCGTGTTACACGTAATAACTCGTCATCACCTATCTCAAAACCCTCGTTTAATCCGAGTATCTGGAATATCTCGGTGTTTTGGGTTATTCTTGGGCCTACCCCCCAACCTTCCTAATGTGGGTAAAAATATCCCCCATTACACCTGGCCACATTAAATATCCAGTTTTAAATGTCTACCAGGTTGGCTGTGCTAAAATTAAAGAAGACAAAGAGGCGTTTGCCATTGTGCCTGTATCAGCCCAAGAGGTTAGAGACCTGGACTTTGCTAATGATGCAGCCAAAGTTCTCACAGAAATCGCCAACAAACTGGAAAAGTCCTCCATCACACAAAACCAACGGAGGTCAGGGTATAACCATATTTATCCCACTGTTTTATGTAGTTACACTATTTTAGCAGTCTCTTAAGAGCAGTGGTTTTTTTAAAACTGAATATTAAATGTTGAATTAAGAATCGACATCACACCACTCAGGACACTCCCATAAGTGCTTAGTCCCCATCTTCAGCAGCAGGTGAAGATTTCCAGTTACCATCTGATTGTATATCTGTCTAATCCTTCCCCTGAGTGTTGAGCGTCAGCCAGATTCCCTGGTGACTCCTCGCAGCGCCATTCTCCTTAGACTGTAATGATCTATCTCCGCCTCCGCACTGTTCACTCACTCCCAAAAAGTCCACACGATATCTAACTTGTCATTCATTAATTCATCACCAAGTGGTCCAGAGCCAGCCAGTCTATCCGGCTGCGCTCATTTCCCAACACACAGGCATCACCTGGAGAAAATATCCATTACCTCTGAAGTGGTGCTTGCCACTCTGCACAAAGCATGCTTGTTTTCAACTTTCTCAACTTGCTCTGTGAGTCATTTTTCAACAACTTTGGGGTGGAAAATAAAAGGGGTGGGTGGGGGGACTTGAGAAGTTGTTAACTTGAGCGCATTTCTGCTTGTAGCAATCTTTTTTATACTAACAGATTTTCCAGTTGGATTATAGATAAAATATTTTTTTAAACCATTTATAAAACAAAAAGCCAAGGATGTTATGTTATTTCACACTTTAATTTGTTTTTATTTTGATTTCTCCAAGTTCTTGTTGAAAGTGCTTTGGATTTTTTTTTTTTTGTCCTCCTCTTTTTAATCATTTTTTTTTTAAATTGGTGTGTTTGGGTGGGGGGGGGGGGGGGGGGGGGGGGGGGGGGAATTGGCATTTATTCTGAGAGGGGGAGGGGGCCCAACCTGAAAAAGGTTGAAAATCTCTGATGTAGATGTTTGACTAGCTTCCTGCTGGTAGCAGGTATCATAAAATTGTAGTGTTAGCTTTTTATTACATTTGACCAGTGCAAAGGTACATTCTAAGATTGTATAAGAGCCATGTATCGGGGAAGTGAAAGAGCTACTAGAACAAGAGCTGAAACCACAAATTGGTTTCCAGTAACATCCGGAGTGAGACATGGATGTATTCTCTCACCCTTGCTTTTCATTTACCACCAAAAAAGAAGAAGAAAAAATGCACCAGCAAATGACCAACCAGACTGCTTATACGATCTGCTATTTGCCATTATCAGTGCACATTCTACAGTAAAACCCAACAACTAGAGCAACACATTAATATAGTCCACAGTAGTTTTTTCAAGAACAACATGATGATCAATATTAAAGAAACAGAAATCATGAATATACAAATTAACGAACATTCACTAAAACAGGTGGGCAGATTGAAATATCTTGGAAGCATCTTCACATCAGACTGCACAGAGTCCAGAATCCAGCAAGTTGACATTATCTATCAGATTTCCCACAGTTGAGTTGAGTCAAAAATTGACATCATAGCACAAACTCCATTTTCAAAGGGTCACGAATTGGGCGTTGCAAGTATCACATATTTCCCTCCTTATCAATAAAAGTGGCTCATAGATAGGTAGGAACAGCACCTTTAAGATTTATTGAAACAGAGTGAGACTGAAATGGTTTCCAGAAACCAAACTTATCCATGCCTATGATACCTAACAGCATTAAACAGAGAAAGATACATAAATAGAATCAGTGCAGAGATGAGGGAATGGAAATAAACAGGCGGACAGACTGGCTGGCTCTGCACAACTTGGTGGAAGACTGATGCATGATAAGGTAGACATGGTTAGTGCTTTGTGGGAGAGCATGTACTGTTCGGGGGAGCAAATGGATCACCTCAGTCTGGTGAGATTTATGCAGGGGGGTGGGACGAGGGGTTCTGGCAGATGCTCGAGGCTCAGAGGAAAGGCAAGACGGATGTTTAACCAGAATGCTACTAGCACCATTAGTATCGGAATTTTGCGCTGGTTGTAAAATGGAACGGAGCGCTTATGGGAATGCCCCGAGTGCTGTGATGTCAGTTTTTGAATCAACTCAACTCAACATGAGGTAGCTATAATTTCTAATCTTGCTTACTGCTCATCTTCTTATAGTCTATGCTGTGTGGCATTGATTGTCACGTCTATCCACAACCTTCTACCTTGTGTACTTTCAGTCATTTCTGACACTGATGATCTTCCATACCATGATGTCAAAGTATCACATATTTGCCACTTATCAATGAAAGTATCTTATATTTGCTCCCCTATTAATTCAAGCATCCCATATTTTCCTCCGATCAATTAAAGTTACATATGTAACCCACCCCAAACCAACTCCTTCCCCCCTCCCCTCCCATCAATGAAAGTATCACATATGTGCCCCCTTATCAATAAAAATGTATCATATTTGTCCCCTTATCAAGGAAATCATAACAAATTTGCCCCCTTGTCAACAAAAGTATCACATATTTGTCATTTGTCAATGAAAGTGTCACATATTCACCCTTTATCAATGAAAGTATCACATATTTACCTCATCAAGGAAATTATTATCCCCCCACCCACCCTCCCCCCTCCCATCAATGAAAGTATCATATATTTCACTCCTTATCAATGAAAGTATCACATCTTTGCCCCAGGTCTGTCATCCAGCTCATCACGGATGTGATCTACTTCCTGGGTCATCTGGAGCTGTCCAACCACCAGGGCGACTGCCTGGATCTGGTCATCTCCAAGCCTGACAGGGAGAGACAGAAACTGATCCGAGAACAAAATATCTTGAAGCAGGTAAGTTCATTCTGTGACAGAGAGGAAGCAGCTCTAACCTTGACATACAGTGACTCATAACTCCTGGGATAGGACAGCAGGCACAGTTCCAAAAGTTCTTTAAAAAAATTTAAAAATAATTAAAGTTAAAAGTTGAGTCGAAAGGATTGGTCAGAAATTTAATTGAGTTGAGAGAATATGTCAGAGTTAATCTTGAGTCAAGAGGATTGATTAGACTCAAAGTTGAGTCTAGAGGATCGGTTAATGTTAAGTTGAGATAATCGATAAAAGTTTAATTTGAATCATGAGATTTGGTCAAAACTAAAATTAAGTTGAGATGATCGGTCAGAGTGAAAATTTTAGTGTAGAAGATCTATTTCATTATACTGCATGCCGAAATTTGTAACTTTTTGAAGAAAAAAAATGTGATCATTAGTTTGTTCGGTCTTCTTCTCTCCCCCCCCCCTCCATATTCTTCCATAGTTTACAGCCTGTGAACACGAAGAAGAGAAGAAGAATGACACAAATATTCAAGCTTTGTTTTTATAAAAATCACAACCAAACTGACGATATTGCAGATTTTCAAGATTCTTCAAGCGCCTTTCAATGATGTTGGAGATGGCGCCCTCATGCAGTCCATGGAAGAATTGTCAGATCAACGACATGCAGCATTTAGGCATCTGTGTCGTTTGTGTTACCGGCTTCTCAAGCTCTCCTTCCAGAATTACAGGAAGAATCAGGTCAGTGCAGGTTTTTCTATAAAAGTAACTGTTGGTCGAAAGGCATACATATTGCAACTATACTGTAAATGAGCACTACCTTGTTACGTCTTTGGATGAACGCAGAACAAGATATATTTTCTGTCTTTTTGCGTGTAAGGTTAATGAATCATTGTCAAGTTCTGTGTCATGCGGATATATAAGGCATACATATTGCAACTATGCTGTAAATGTGCACCCCGCTGTTATGTCTTCGGATGAATGCAGAACAAGATATATTTGCTGTCTTTTTGCATCTAAGGTTAATGAATCATTGTCTTGTTCTGTGTCATGCGGATATATAAGGCATACATATTGCAACTATGCTGTAAATGAGCACTTCCTGTTACGTCTTCGGATGAACACAGAAGAAGATATATTTTCTGTCTGTTTGCGTGTAAGGTTAATGAATCATTGTCAAGTTCTGTGTCATGCGGATTTTACCTTTTTCATGACAGGAATATGTGGCTGCCAAACTCCAGTTCATGCAACGGCAGATTGGTTACGATGTCTTAGCAGAAGACACCATCACGGCGCTCCTCCACAACAACCGTAAGCTGTTGGAGAAACACATCAAGAAGCCAGAGATTGAGATGTTCGTTTCCCTGGTCAGGAGGAAGAAGGAACCAAGGTTAGCACAAAGTTTCAGGGATGCATCACATCAGAGTCATGATGTTATCACTACATCATGACATGACATCATCACTGCGCCATGACAACACATGACATCATCACTACTGTAGCATGACATCATCATGGCAGGACATAACTGTATCACATCATCAGGATGTCACATCATGACATCACTATGTCATAACATCATAACATCACATCATGAAACCACTGTATCATGACATGACACCACTATCATTATATGACACCACTGTATCATGATATGCCACCACTGTATCATAACATGACACCACTGAGTCATGACAGCCACCACTGTGTCATGATATGCCACCACTGTGTCATGATATGCCACCACTGTGTCATGATATGCCACCACTGTGTCATAATATGCCACCACTGTATCATGATATGACACCACTGTGTCATGATATGCCACCACTGTGTCATGATTTGCCACCATTGTGTCATGATTTGCCACCACTGTATAATGATATGCCACCACTGTATAATGATATGCCACCACTGTGTCATGATATGCCACCACTGTGTCATGATATGCCACTATTGTGTCAAAATATGACACCATTGTGTCATGATATGCCACCATTGTGTCATGATTTGCCACCACTGTATCATGATATGCCACCATTTTATTATGACATGACACCATTGTGTCATGATATGCCACCACTGTGCCATGATATGCAACCACTGTATCATGACATTACGTTGTCTCTTTTACTCCCTTCATCCATCTCCTTCTTGGTCAGCCTTTTGACTTGTAGCATGATTTTCTCTTGTAGTGTGCTCTAGCTGCTGGCTGATTTTGTTTCATTCTGACCAAATCACCAAACCATTTGATTTTTTTATGTTCTATAAAATAATTTTTTTTTTAAAAAGTGTTCTTTGTTCTTCATTAGTGATTCTGCCTCTTCTTGTGTTTTCCGTTGCTTTTCTTATACATCTCATCTGACATGTTGTCACACCATTCAATCACAAAGTGTTCAGGTGCAAGTTGCCATTTATAGAGCCACGACTATATATGTGTGTGTGTATGTGTGGGGTTCAGTAACACCAGGTGAGTTGACCACCTGTCCTCAGGTTCCTGGACTACCTGGCTGACCTGTGTGTGTGCAGCAGGGTGGCCATACCTATCACCCAGGAGCTCATCTGCAAGACTCTGCTGGCGCCAGAGAACCAGGACATCCTCATTGAGACCAGGTCAGCATACCTTTGTTAGTGCTTACAGAAATTGAACAAGGTATACCTGTTAATAGCATCTTTATCCCTACTTTATGTTATCAGTGCCAAACATGGATAATGAATAAGGCAGTACAACAGAAAATGACTACATGTGAAATGTGCTGTCTCCGCAAGGTCATTAACAACACCAGAAGAGACAGGGTTACGTGTACCAGCATTAGAGAGAAAACTGGGATAACACTTTGTCTGGATTATACTGTCAGACAAAGAATGAAATGGTTCAGCCATCTAGTGAGAATGCACCCAGACCAAACTGCATATGAGACTTTTTACAGCAGAACATTTGGGAGGAAGGTGAGAGGAAGACTAAGAAAGAGATGGATAAATGGTGAAGCCAAAACCTGCAAAATGATGAACAAATCCATAACCCAAGCTACCCGAGAAGCAGAAGACAAATACAGAAAACCACGACACTGGGCTACAAACTGGTATCAGTGAGAGGACAAAACCATGACACTGGGCTGCAACCTGGTATCAGTGAGAGGACAAAACCATGACATTAGGCTGCAAACTGGTATCGGTGAGAGGACAAAACCATGTTGAGCTTCGAAGTTATTTTTGCTTCTGACAGCGCTTTGCTAATGCAGTTTCATCATGTGGTGGTAGTCTGTGGTTTCGCATCCTGAGCTACTGAATTTAGTGCCTCATGAGACCAATTATTTGTTCACCAGTTTTCCAAATGCCACAGTGAGGGATATTTGATTTGATTTGCACTGGCACAGGAATGGAGCAAGTGTGGGAAAACCTGATTGCAGTGAAGTTGAAACTTCAACTTGAGTTGATTCAAGAACCGACAGCACCCGGGGCATTCCCATAAGCGCTCTTTCCCCATCTTCACCAGCCAGTGCTTCAACTAAGACTAAGTTAGTAGTCACAGATTGTTCTCTTTGCACATCAAATCATTCAGTCCATAGGTGCTCAGATCCCCTCTTAGTAAATTCTGCAGCGTGTAGGGGCTGACAACACCAGTCCTATATTAGTTTCCTATTCTTTGGCTTCTGCATAGTGCTTTTGTCTGGCCACGCCCCTTTTAACACGCTGTTCATACAGTTTAGTCATGGTTGCAGATTCACAGTCATCACCTGGTTCTTGCTAACATATCACTTCTCGTCGAGCATTCAGTATATCAGCCTGGTCCAAGGCACGTCCGCTTGCTATGGTAGCTTTACCTGCAGGCCTCCTGATGCATGTCCTAGCACACCTTTGTGCCATGGCATGAATGTGAAATTGATAATGTTCTATGGTAAGATTCTGTATTAAGAAAACGGAATCAAAGAAGAAGATAACTCCACATTTCAGAAAATGAAAACTATCTTATGCAGCAAATTGCTCTCGTTTAATGTCAGAAAGAGAGTGCTAAAATGTTTCATAGAACTTGTTCTGCTGTATGGCAGCGAATCTTGGAATGTCAGTGAACAAATTAGGAAGAATTTGGAAGCAGCAGAGATGTGGTTTGTTACGAATACCTTTGACGGCCAGAGTAACTAACAGAGATTGCTTGAAAGAAGCTAATGAAAGTAGATCTCCATATACAACAATAACAATGAGACAAATTCTGTTTTTTGGCCACATAATAAGTAGAGAGACATTGGAGAACATCTTGACAAATGGAAAGATCTGTCGAAAAAGGGGTAGAGGCAGACCAAGAGAGATGATGCTGGATGGGCTGAAACTATGGCATGGAGGAATATCATCAAGAGAGCAGTTCCAGACAACCAGGGATCGCAATCTGTAGAGACAAATGAGGGCCTACCTCAGTTGGCAGAGCACATGACGATGATAAAGATTCTTTAGTAATACCACATGCTACAATTCTCTTTTGAATTTTTTTGTTTTAATCGCCTATGGGACAATTGCTTGCTATGGTAGTTTTCCATCTCACTCAAGTGCTCATCACTGTCTGCACAGTGAAGGTTGACCGCAGCGGATCTTCAACATGCTCTTTCTTTCATCCTGGTAGTACACTCTTTTAGACTCCTGTTCGTCCATCTCTTGATGTTATCCTGACACTTTTATCGCTGTCCGCCTCTTGCTGTAAACTTTTTCCTCCAGTATTGTTTGTATTAAATTTTATATAGCTTACAGATTTCACTTGTTTCTTTGTATTTCCATCAGCAACTCTTGCTTCATTTCTAGTCTCTTAGGGACCTCTGTATTTGATTATATTTGTTTCCATGAAATACAACCTGTTCTTCTGTATATGGTAGTTGTCAAACTGAGAATATGTCTTTCCTATGGGATTAGGCGTAGTTCAAAGCATGTGTGACCTGCATGGGACACTAATGTGTTTTTTGTTTGTTTGTTTGTTTAGATTGATTCGGACACAAATGGAGTATGAGATGCCTACTGAAGGAGAGGAGGGAGTTGTCATGACTATGGATGAGGATGATGAAGTGGTCCTGTTCTGGGACCCTGCCTACAAACCGATGGATGAAAACATCAAGGATGGCCCACTGATGCAGTATCCAGGCATGGAGTACAGGTGTCAGAAGGGGGTTCGGGAGCTGGCCATGGGGGCGGCTGACAACATCAAGTCTGACAAGGAGATACTGGACTACTACAGGTAGTGGGCCAGAGGAACTGATGCTGGGGAGCAGCAGATGTTTGTCAGGCGGATAATGATGTGTGAAAGGTGGACAGTTGTGTGTGTGTAAGATTGATAATGATATGTGAAAGGTGGACAGTTGTGTGTGTGTAAGATTGATAATGATATGTGAAAGGTGGACAGTTGTGTCTGTGTGTGTAAGATTGATAATGATATGTGAAAGGTGGACAGTTATGTGTGAAAGGTGGCTAGTTGTGTCTAAAAGGTGGCTAGTTATGTGTGAAAGGTGGCTAGTTATGTATAAAAGGTGGCTAGTTATGTGTGAAAGGTGGCTAGTTATGTGTAAAAGGTGGCTAGTTATGTGTGAAAGATGGCTAGTTATGTGTGAAAGGTGGCTAGTTATGTGTGAAAGGTGGCTAGTTATGTGTGAAAGGTGGCTAGTTATGTGTAAAAGGTGGCTAGTTATGTGTGAAAGGTGGCTGGTTATGTGTGAAAGGTGGGTACTTATGTGTGAAAGGTGGCTAGTTATGTGTGAAAGGTGGGTACTTATGTGTGAAAGGTGGCTAGTTATGTGTGAAAGGTGGCTGGTTATGGGTGAAAGGTGGCTAGTTATGTGTGAAAGGTGGCTAGTTGTGTCTAAAAGGTGGCTAGTTATGTGTGAAAGGTGGCTAGTTATGTATAAAAGGTGGCTAGTTATGTGTGAAAGGTGGCTAGTTATGTGTAAAAGGTGGCTAGTTATGTGTGAAAGGTGGCTAGTTATGTGTGAAAGGTGGCTAGTTATGTGTGAAAGGTGGCTAGTTATGTGTAAAAGGTGGCTAGTTATGTGTGAAAGGTGGCTGGTTATGTGTGAAAGGTGGGTACTTATGTGTGAAAGGTGGCTAGTTATGTGTGAAAGGTGGGTACTTATGTGTGAAAGGTGGCTAGTTATGTGTGAAAGGTGGCTGGTTATGGGTGAAAGGTGGGTACTTATGTGTTAAAGATGGCTAGTTATGTGTAAAAGGTGGGTACTTATGTGTTAAAGGTGGCTGGTTATGGGTGAAAGGTGGCTAGTTATGTGTAAAAGGTGGCTAGTTATGTGTGAAAGGTGGCTGGTTATGTGTGAAAGGTGGGTACTTATGTGTGAAAGGTGGCTAGTTATGTGTGAAAGGTGGGTACTTATGTGTGAAAGGTGGCTAGTTATGTGTGAAAGGTGGCTGGTTATGGGTGAAAGGTGGGTACTTATGTGTTAAAGATGGCTAGTTATGTGTAAAAGGTGGGTACTTATGTGTTAAAGGTGGCTGGTTATGGGTGAAAGGTGGCTAGTTATGTGTAAAAGGTGGGTACTTATGTGTTAAAGGTGGCTGGTTATGGGTGAAAGGTGGCTAGTTATGTGTGAAAGGTGGCTAGTTATGTTTTAAAGGTGGCTAGTTATGTGTGAAAGGTGGCTAGTTATGTTTTAAAGGTGGCTAGTTATGTGTCAAAGATGGCTAGTTATTGGTGAAAGGTGACTAGTTTTGGTTGAAAGGTGACTAGTTATGTTTGGAAGGTGACTAGTTATGTGTGAAAAGTCATTAATTATTTGTGAAAAGTGGATAATGCTAAAGAAGTGGTAGAGAATGATGTCTTGGGGCCACCAGATTTGCAGTGAAAACATTTATCTTCTTTTAAACATCATGATAACATGAAAGGGTAAGGATATAAAGTCGATAATACGAAAATCAAACGTTTGGAAACATACAAGTACTTTGGTGCAAACTTCAACTGCTCCATCGTGCTGAGGGAAAAAATACAAACTGGAAATAAATTACACTACGCCCTTTAACTCTGCTAAAGTCAAAGTCTCTATCTCGCCACACCAAGATCAGAATATATAAATCATTGATAAGACCAGTTGATTTTCATACTTATGTTATTTCTGCATTGTTTTTGTATGTGTGTGTGTCTGTCACAAGAAAGACATTTTTGTTCCCTTGCAGACACCAGTTGGACCTGTTTTCTTACATGTGTCTGGACAGACAATATCTAGCCATCAATAAACTCAGTGAATCCCTGGATGTTGATCTCATTCTCAAGTGAGTAATTATGAGTGCATCTCATTTTCAGGTGAGTAATCATGAGTGCATCTCATTCTCAAGTGAGTAATTATGAGTGTATCTCATTCTCAGGTAAGTAATCATGAGTGCATCTCATTCTCAAGTGAGTAATTATGAGTGTATCTCATTCTCAGGTAAGTAATCATGAGTGCATCTCATTCTCAAGTAATTAATCATGAGTGTATCTCCTTCTCAAGTTAGTAATTATGAGTGCATCTCATTCTCAAGTTAGTAATTATGAGTGCATCTCATTCTCAAGTTAGTAATTATGAGTGCATCTCATGTAGTAATTATGAGTGCATCTCATTCTCAAGTTAGTAATTATGAGTGCATCTCATTCTCAAGTGAGTAATTATGAGTGCATCTCATTCACAAGTGAGTAATTATGAGTGCATCTCATTCTCAAGTAAGTAATCATGAGTGTATCTCATTCTCAAGTGAGTAATTATGAGTGTATCTCATTCTCAAGTGAGTAATCATGAGTGTATCTCATTCTCAAGTGAGTAATTAGGAGTGTATCTCATTCTCAAGTGAGTAATCATGAGTGTATCTCATTCTCAAGTGAGTAATTATGAGTGCATCTCATTCTCAAGTGAGTAATTATGAGTGCATCTCATGCTCAGGTGAGTAATCATGAGTGCATCTCATTCTCAAGTGAGTAATTAGGAGTCTATATCATTCCCAAGTGAGTATTTATGAGTGTATCAGTTAGAGTGTATCCTTTGTCAGGAGGGTGCTGCCTAGACTGTAGCCTGCAGATAAGAAGAATGTGGGTTAGGGTCATGGCAGAACTAAATTTTTTCCACTCAAGGCTAGGTCGACCTGTGAGCCAAGGTAATTTTTGAAAAAAGTCTTGCTCGGCCAGGGAGCGAACCCACGACCTTCTGATCCATGGCGAGCATCTAGCTGCTCTGCCTGAAAAATGTCAGGCATTAAATTGTGCAATGTTTTGTTTGTGTCCGCATTATGTAAATAATTTATTCTTTTATTAGTAACCTTTTCTCTGTTACTTTATGGCTGAGAAGTTTTGTTTAGTCTTTGCCCCCTGTGATAAAGAAGTTTTGTTTTGTGCGCTCTTCAATAAATTAGAGTTGCATTTTATCTTGTACCCTCTGTGAGTTGAAGAGTTTTGTTCAGTCTTGTTCTTGAAAGTTGCCAATCAAAAAGCAGTGACAAAGTCATCGTTGTCATCAAGTGCCTTGCCGAAGGGCGTGGGCGATCATGCTCTTCCACAATCTGCGATCTGCAGCTGAGTATTATTTTGTGTGTTGACACTTCATCATGCCATGACAAAAGACTGTCAAGAATCTCTTCCTCTTGTCTTTCTTTTCACAAATTTTTTCAGTGGTCACAACATGTTCCATTTGCCCTGTTCTCATAACATGACCAAAAAATGGTGACTGTCTTTTCTGATGTTTGTGATAAGTTGTCTCCAAGCACTCACTTTTTTCAAATCATCTGGGTTCCACTTCTTAGCTATCCAAGGAATTCTGAGGATTCTTCTGTAAAATCACATCTCTGAGGCCTTGAGATATTGTTCCTCTTGTTTATTAAGTGTCCAGGATTTACAGCTGTATGTTAAAACTGGCTCTATATACCATGCGAGAATTCTTTTTCTAACCTCCAAAAGACAGTACTAAATGTTTAAAAAAATTTTTTTTTAAATATCCAGAAACCATGAAATGTTATCCCTTTGGCTCGGTATTATGGATATCACAACTCTTCGGCCTTGATTCCATGATAGATACCGTAAATCTGTGAAAAATCTGGCTTTTCTGCCTACCCCCGGGTGTGAACCTGTACCACAAGGAGTTCGTCACCCAGTCACCGCACAGTCAGGTTTAAACAACTGAGCTGGTGAGACAGAATGTTAAAATTGCCTAGTAAAATCACAGACATCCAAAAGAATATGTGACCTGTAAAGGACAGAAAACTGGCACACTGTGAGCAATATCACTGACCATTGTAAAAGGTGTTTCTTATTTTCAGGGTGTGTGATTTGTTAAAACAACAACTGAACTCTCTCAGTACCAGAATATTTATATAGCAGCCAGTGCCCAAGTGGGAAACAAATTTATGAAAGCCAACCTAAGACTAAACACAGAGGATGTGGCGACTTTACTAGCCAGATTTCCTTGCATTCTATGACCTTCATTAAAATGCAAGAGAACACATTGCCTGATGGCTGAGACTCACTAGGAGGTTCCCATTGCACACAATGCATTCTTTTGAACTGAAAGATAAAAAGTCAAGTCAGGAGATGTGAACCAGTGTCATTGCACACGGTTATAAACCATAAGTGCTCTGCCACTAGTACAGACAGCTGATAAAAAACTGTCCGCCTGTGTCGCCATCTGCATATCTGTAGCTACAGCGACGTCCCTCCATTTACCCCAGAGTGTTAACTCTGGTACCATTTACCTAGAAGCTGGGTAAACCCCGGAACCGCTCAGTTTCAAACACCATCCGTGGGTTGCAGCAAGTTGCAGCTAGATTTGAAAGCGAGTCTCCTATCGACTGCACTAATGCGGCTCCTTAGACAGAAGTAATACTCACAGAACTACTTGCAAACAGAAATAATACTGGATTGGGTCTGTAAGAGATAAACATTTTCATTGCTTCGACTAGATGCATGGCCGATGAGTCATTACCGCCAGACCTGCGAGCCGCCTTCTGCCGTCTGATGTTGTCCATGCATGTGGATCGAGACCCCCAAGAACAAGTGAAGCCAGTCAAGTTTGCCCGTCTGTGGTCTGAGATCCCCCAGAAAATATCCATCGAGGAGTAAGTCTGTGTCTGTTTCCTTCTGTATGTCTGATGTCTTGATACTGGAGTTGTTTTTCATTGTTGCATATACACTTTCTCCTCGGCTTCCGACCTTTGCGACTTACAACCAACCGTACTTACCAGAATAAGAAAAAAGTAAATAAAGAAGGATGACTACATCGGCGGGGTTAAAAGTAACGGAAACTGATTATGTATAGTAGATATTATATAGATATTATATTTCACATAATGTACAGTTATTAAATGTAGATAGTTTGAATTTTTGGGTTGTGTGTACAATTTTTAAGGCTCATTTGAATGAAAGTAGATTTGAAAAATATAATTTTGACTTACAACCTTAATTGGAACAGAACTGTTATAGGTTGAGGAGACTTTGTATTTTGTATTTTCACATTTGAATTATGTTAAGTTTGGTTTATTTAAGTTTGCTTGAAGTATTTTTAAGTTTCTTGCTTTTGTGATGTTTGTATAGTTTAGCAAGTTAATTTCACCAATGCACGTACAGAAGGTCTTTGTTGTTAATTTCACCAACACACATACAGAAGGTCCTTGTTGTTACTTTTCACCAACACACATACATAAGGTCCTTGTTGTTACTTTTCACCAACACACATACAGAAGGTCCTTGTTGTGTTCTGTGATTTTCTACAGCAGCTCCTGTTCATGTTGCTGTTCACCCACAGCTGGTTGCTTTCTGGGCAGAGAACCCAGGGTGACAGATTGTTCATTCTGTGCATATTCATTGTATGTTGAATCTCTCTCTCTCTCTCTTGTTGTACCCCAGCAGGACATCACACAAGCGATAAACACCTTGTGACACAAAGTGCCACCATGCGGATGAGGATCACCCGTGGAGAGGTCCCAGAAACCCCTTTCAGCTGTTAGGCCATATTTATGGCCCGGCTATATTCAGGGCCCCCGACAAAAGCCAGAGTGGGGCTTCAAAAAATAAAAGATTTTATCCCACACAAGGATGACAAAAATCAATAACAACAATAGATCCACTGCCTACTCACAAACATGTTATAAGAATCGATTGACTGGGGTCCTTCTTCGAAGTTAGAGTGCATCTGCCTGATAGCTAAGGAACCAACGGTCTGCATACAAATGAGTCAGATGTGTAAAACACTCAGATTCTGTAACATAACTAGATTCCAGAAGTGCCCGAACAACCAGAGTTCCTTCTTTCCTGCATTCACCCTTGTTTCTTTTTCTCTTTTCTATTGTTCTTTTCTTCCTAAATCCTCCCACCCTGTGTAGTGGAAAACCCTGTGGACCACGCCCATATTTATGTTTTTTCTACATGAGTAAGGTTGAATCTGTGGAGTCATCTATCTGTTTCTTGTCCTCATCTTGTTCCTGATGAAGCATTAATTCGTTCATTGATTGTCCTCTTGTGCCATAACATATCACATAAGCCTTTCAGTCTATTCCCCCATTCTGCTCAGTCTTCATCAGTCCATCTAATTCCCATTGCAATGCCTGTTTGGTTATTCTCTATTTGTCTGGTCTCAGAATGTGTCTGACCTGTCAACATCTTCTCTATCTAGAAACTGTTGATACTAGTGTTTGCCCAGTCATTTCTCTTAATTCTTTCCCCCTCTTGAATTCATCCCATTTTATGTCCATTCATTTCCCTCATGTATTTGTTTTCAAATGCATTTAACTTTTGTTTCCTGTCTATAGTGGTTCTCAAACTTTGCTGTCATGTGTTACAACTGAAAGAACATTAGAACTGATAATACGTGATTCCCATAGAAACAGCTGGCGTGTTTATTTCTGCCAGCCAGATGCAATCACTGTTTGTTTAGTTGAGTTCACTGACCTTCCACACCATCTGTGTGCCTGTCCTAGCCATGGATTAACATTCTTATATTGTCGTTGTTATTGCAGATATGAAAGTTGTAAAAACAGTGAAACGTAGGTGGCTTATATCACTTGTATGTGCTGCCCTCAAATATCGCCATATATGTGTCTACGTATGTTTCTGTGACTGTGTTTGTCTCTTTCTCTGTTTTCCTGTTTGAACTACCAGTAAGTTTACTGTTATTTGTTTCCCGTCTTTTACCCTTTTTGTCATTTCTTGCAGATATTGTCAATCTTTGCTTTGACATTTTTTTTTCATGCAGCAGTAAATCATAAGACATGTAATTCCTTTAAAGATCTTCTTCCCTGCGCATCAGACATGACCATAAGTGCTCCAATCTCCTCCTGAGTGTTTCTATAAGTGTTTTTTTATTTCTTTGAGTCCCAAGGAAGGCATCATACAAGGTCCGACAATTAAGTAATGAAACTAATTCCATACAAATTAAAATAATCAACAGTTGAAGATATACCCTGTATCTGATTCAAAGTAAGTGCCTTGTGCATTGATACAGCAAGTGGCACGATCTTACAAACACTGGAACGACCTCTGTAGTTCTTCTGTTGTTATGGCCCTTAAAGTCGATGTTACAGCCCTTTGGATGTCATCAGTATTGTTAAAGAGGCATCCTTTTAATCGTAACTATAATTTTTGGAATAGAAAATAATCACAGAGAGACAAATCTGGGGAATAGGGTGGAACGCTGAGAACACACACTTGTTTTTAGGCCAAAAATTCTTTTTTTTTCATGATGTCTCTTGGGTATTCAACCCGCTGATTTTTTTGGTCATCAGACAATGAATGTGAAATAAAAAGGCAAACAACTTTTTTCTTGCCAAAATCTTGCACTAAAATGTTGTGAATGGCTATTACCACCAGATTCATGTGCCATCATTCTCACAGTAAAACAATGAACCTCTTGTATCCATTCTCTGACTTTTGCAATGAGTTCATCATTACAAACAGAGATTTGGCGTCCATGTCTAGGTGCATTATTAATCATTTCCACACCACTTTTGAATCGGGAATACCACCTGAAAATGTGTGCACAAGATAAACAATTATCCCCATAGACTTGCTGCATCAATTCAGCTGTTTCAATGGTGCTTTTTCTGAGTTTTAAAAATAATTTAATGTTAGCTTTTTGCTCCATGCTGATTACGTAACAATGCACCTCTGACTTGGTCAACAAAATGGCGGCATGTTTATTGTCTTCTTATCAAGCAGCGATGAAAGGTTGCCAGATCATAGATGAATGTTGCCTCTTTAGATTCCATACTTTGCTTCAAAGATGGCATTTTTGTCTTAGCCATAATAAAATCAGTCTCATTACTTAATTGTTGGACCTTGTATGTTAATAGGTTCCTACCTAGAAGTCTAGTGAACGTATGATGCGCCGATTTTATGTCTCTCTTTACTCCCCCTTGAGTCTGTGATGCTGTGCCCTCAGGGACTCAAATATTTAATTCTGAGTTAGACTGAAGACACCAAAAACAGATCAAGCAGATGTAACACTAGAGCAGTGATTCCCAAACTGTGCGCCGCAGCCCTCCTGGGGAGCGGCAGCCTCTTCACAGGGGCGCCACACAATATTGTAAAAGCTTCATAATTAATTTAACCGACAGGAATAGTCATACTTTTACTTAGGTTAGGGCGCCGTAGAAAAATTGTAATTGAAAAAAGGCACTGCGACCAAGAAAAGTTTAGGAAACACTGCACCAGAGAAAAAAAAAAGGATGAAAGTAACAGATCAGTTGACTTATTTAGGTAGCAGTTTTAATCAGAAATTATAATGCACTGGAAAGGCATCAGCAGTTTTTAAAAGCCTGAACAAAATTTGGAATTCTAAATGATAGTTTTAAAACGTTATATATTTTCAGTTCTAATGTTATTTCAGTTTTAACGAAAGTTTGAGAATCATTAAAGACATGGGACGCAAAATAAATGCATTTGAAAACAAATAAAAGTAAAAGTAAAAGTAAAGATCCCTTTCCACGCCTTTAGGCGTATCGGGCATATGGGAAGAGCGCCCATATTTTTACAGACCAAAAGCACTCAATGGGTAATGTAGTCAGCATTACGCCGGCTGTCTTTACTTCTCCAGGACATACATCCTGGTACCCATTTTAGGCTGGGTCGACCTGCGACGCCCTGTACCATGGTAAAAGACCACGCAGCCAGCAGTGGGTTTCGATCGCGGTACGCTGGATTTCGAGTCGGACTCGCAACGCCTAAGCCACGGACACCGCTTTGAAAACAAATACCTGAAGTAAATGATGGACATAAAATGGGATAAAATCAGGAGAGATGAAGAAATAAGAGAAATGTCTGAGCAACCACTGGTAAAGTAAAGAACCCTTTCCCTCGCCTTCAGGTGTATTGGGCAAATAGGGTTATACTTACCTTTTATAGACCAGTGGATGATGTGGTCAGCATCATGCCACTGGTGTGTTGGCGTGTTCTCCATTTCTGGACTTCTGCTTTGTTCCATCAGCTGGCAAACAGAAAGTGAGATTGATGACAGATGTCATTAGGCAAATGTCACCAATACCAAGAAACAAGGGAGTTGTCATGGCAGAGCGGCTAGATGCGTGCCACGGATCGGAAGGCCGTGGGTTCGCTCCCTGGAGGAGCTGGACTTTTCTTCAAAAATGACCTTGGGTCCCAGGTTGACCCAGCCTTGAGTGGGTACCGGGTGCAGTCCTGGGAACTATAGGCAACCAGCATGATGCTGACATCACCCATCATGTGCTGTTGGTCTATAAAATATAGGTCTAGCCCTATATGCCCTATACGCCTAAAGGCGTGGAAAAAGGTCCTTTACTTACTTACTTACTTACCAAGAAACAAATATATTTGTAAAAACCAATAGAAACAAAAAGAGCACTCAGTGATACAGTCTTGGCAACCCTGTGTTATCAGTGCCAGACCTGGACAATGACAGAAAAAGAGAAAAGAAAAACTACAACTGAAATGAGATTTATTCAAGGTGCTCTCAGTATAAAAAGAAGAGGTAAGATCATAAACGATGAAATCCAAAGGAATATGGGCGTAGCGGCAGTCTTGGATTTCGTTAGGAGACAACAGGTGAAATGGTTTGGCCATATAATGCGGATGTCAGCAGACAGTATACCACAGCTAGGAATGATGTACAGACCAGTCGGGAAGGGAAGAAGAAACCGACCATACAAGCGATGGACAGAAGGAATTACAGTCTTCGGGAATCCCCATTTATGAAACGCACAAATGGGCACTTCCCCTAAATTGTACTTCCCCTCGACACAGCAAGATAGAAGAGTATCAAGATGAAATTAGATTCACTTTCTGATGCCTTATGCAAAATATGTTCTTCCTGTAAGTTCTTCCTTGACTTACTTCACTGCCTTTTGTCTTCTTTCATGGCTACTATAGCTTTCACAAAATGTCTTCTGTGATTGTTTCAAATCATTTTTGATCTATCTTTTGTACATGCACACATGAATTTCTTATATCACTTGTCTTTATTTTAATGCACTTTGTTTGATCATTTTATTAAATTACCTCAGGAGCCGCCATGTTGCAGTGGCTAGACATCCTGTGGATTGGAAGATTATGGGTTTAGGTCCTAACGGAGCCACTTTTGTTAAAAATAATGACCTTGGCTTCCAGGTCATCCCAACTTTCAGTGGGTACCAGGTACGGTTCTGGGAAGTAAAAGCGGCCGGCATGATGTTGACCACCTCACTTACCGAATGCCGATTGGTCTATAAAATATAGGTCTAGCCCTATATGCCCAGTACAGCTAAAGGCCTGGAAAGGATCCTTTACTTTATTATATTGCCACAGAATTTCCTCCTTTGTCCCATATTTGTATCCTGTTGATTGATATCCAAGTTAACCTTGAAGTAATCACCTCTCTTGACATGATCCCCACCTCACTCTACCATGTTCTCCACATTTTGTATTTTCTTCCCTGTTGAATGTCTTGTCCTTTCATTGTGGCCACTCTTTCTTGTTAATGTGTAACCAATGTGCCTGATGTTCAGTGTTGCATTTGGTCACCACAGTCAGTGGTCACCTACCAGCTCATCTGGGACACACAAGTTATAAAAGATCATTTAGACTCCAAAGGCTCATCGGGGGTTGGCCACATTGAATACAGCACACCAACTGCATATTAAAATCAACAGTGAAGAGACTGAAAATTTTACAGATTTGGAGTTGAGTTGAGTCAATAATGTTGAATGTTGAATTAAGAATCAACATCACAGCACTTGGGACAACCCATAAGCGCTCTGTCACCATCTCCAGCAGCAAGTGAAAAGTTAAAATTCTGATGGTACCAGTAATTGCTTCATTGTATATCTGACTCATCTTTTTCCTGAGTGTCGAGTGTCGGCCAGATTCCCTTGTAATTTCTCGCAGTGCCATTTTCCTCTGACCGTAATTTTCTATCTGTGCCTCGGCAATGTTCACTCGCTGCCAAAGGGCCCTCATAACATCCAGCTTGTCATACATCAGTTCACCACCAAGCAGTACAGAACTGGCCAGTCTATCTGCCTGCTCATTTCCCAAGACACCGGCATAACCTGGAGAAAATGTCCAAAGGATGCTAACTACCGGGGACCTTTAAAGTGATGCTTGCCACTCTACACTGAGCATACATGTCTCCACCTTTCTCAACATGCTGTGTGAGTCAGTTACAATTACAGCATGTGTGTACAGCTGATTCTCAAGCCAGCAGAAGGCAGCAGTGACTGCCTCCACCTCCAAGAATCGACATCACAGCACTCGGGGCATTCTTATACATGCTCCATCCCCATCCTCAGCCGCATTAGCGCAGTCGATAAGAGGCTCGCTTTCAAATCCAGCTGCGACTCGCTGCAGCCCATACTCGGTGTTCAAAACCGGGCGGTTCCTGGGGTTCACCCAGCCTCTAGGAAATGGGTACCAGAGTTGACACGGGTAAATGGAGGAACGTCTCTGTAGCTAGAGAGTTACGGGTGAACGGTGACACAGGCGGACAATCCTTATCAGCTGTCCATACTGGTGGCAGAGCACTTAAGGTTTATAACCGTGTGCAATGATGCTGGTTCACATCTCCCAATTTACCTTTTTTTTTACCACTCTGCTCTAGGCAGTGACAGATTTGGAATATTTAGGCTCAGTAGAGAAAAGAAGAAGAAGAGGAGGAAGTAATGAACAACAATGGCGAATGCACAAAAGATGTTATGCTATGATTCAGTGGTTGATTCTTTTTTCTTCTTCCTCTTTTTCCGCTTCAAACTGAGGGCAGTATATGGTTATTTTTCTTGTTCTTCTGACCACATTGATCATAGAGGCTTTTATGTGCAAAACTCACTTTGCTGTTCACTTGTACCAGGCGTCTGAGGCGTGATGATGATGTTGATGGTAGAGGCGAGTGCACATTCTCTCTAAGTGGGCAAATTCTTTTGTTGTTGTTGTTGTCTTTGTATGTATTTTATCATTAGTTCTGTGTCTTTTTCTGTTATGATTTCATTGCTGATTTTATCTTTCTGGTCACTCTTTCAGCTTTTCTTAGACATCCCATTTTCTGTCTCAGTTGTTGATAATTAATAATTATCTCTGTTCTAGCAATGATTCCTAGACCAAATGCATCGTAATTGGTTGTTTATTCAGGCTTGCTGACCCTTCAAATGTGCAAATCTTTGTTATAGAGGTGTCAGGTTGTATTGTCTACGACCCTTTCACAGGCGATGATGCGTGCTCTATATTACATGATGTGAATGCTTTTAATGACCCCAGAAGACCTAGAACTGGCCCTAACCCCAACCCCCCACCCCACAGCCTCAGACTACGTCCCACGAGATACTGCAGCTTACATCTCGTGCTTTCAGAACTGTTAACATTTTGGGGTGACAACTGAAGTTAATTCACGTCGTACTTCAAGCCCAAGAAGGCTAGAATATACGCAATGAGTAAAACACACATTGTACTTGGCCGCTCACAGGACGCCCAATGTATACATAACAGAACACAACATGATTCCCCTCTAACTTAGACTAGCGCATGTGAAAGGTTGCAAAGCATTAATGAAAGCACTGTTATGCTCTATTTTAGCCGGGAATCTAGAGCCATTATCTTTTATTTAATTAGGTTTTATATTTTTGTTGTAAAAAACAGTCAAATTAAATTTTCACGCCTTCATGCTTATTGGGTATATATGACTAGACCTGTATTTTATAGACCAATTGGCACTCTGTGGGCGATATGGTCAACACCACACTGGCTGCCTTTACTTCACAGGACTATACCTGTTACCCATTCAAGGCTGGGTCATTTAAAAAAAAAAAAAAAGTCCGGCTCCTCCGGGACCCAAAACCACGGCCTTCCGATCTGCAGACGAGCATCTTGCCGCTACACCATGGGAGCTTCCACATGTTATTGTATAAAGTATTTTATTTGCTTAATTTCTGTGGTAGTAGATGGGTTCGGTTTTTCATCAGGACTATGGTGCAGAAAAAGTGGGGATTTGTATATTGAAACAGTTATGAATCAAACATAAATGTTATTTGTATGTATTGCTGCACCTTATGAATGTAGTATAAATGTTTTATTTAAAGTATTTTCTGCATTTATTGATCATAAATGTAATGCATATATTTTATCTGCAGTATTTTAATCAAAATCAAACACCATAATGTTAGTTTAAAAAAATAATTAAATGTAATATTTACAGGCCTATTCCTGTAGTTGAAAATCCAGTACAAAAGTTATATTTCTTGTGAATATATTTGTTAAAAATTAATTCTGCAGTTAGAAAGCCAAATTAAATGTTATATTTGCATACATATTTGTATAATTATGGATTTAAATCAGCTGTTTTATATATACATTTATCTCTCTCTCTCTGTGTGCGTGCATGTTTGCAGCTCACCATAGAAGAGTATATATATATATATATATATGTGTGTGTGTGTGTGTGTGTGTGTGTACATGTGTTTGTACATATCAGATGCAATGGATTTCATTGAGCTCTGTAGTATAGTTATAAACCCAGTAAAAATGTTATATTTGAAAGTCTACCCTTTCAGGTCTGATGTAAATGTTATGCTTGTGTCTGTACTTCTGCAGCTATGAGTCCAACATCTCCAAGGCACCAGAGAAGGAAGAAGTGAAGAAGAAGTTTGATCCCACCATAGCTTTTGTCGAGGACTACCTGTGCAACATCGTCACCAAGTCTTGGGCAGACGGCGAGCAGAACAATCTCACCTTTGAGGTATGGCCAGTGGTTCAGGTGGAGATATCTGTTTTCAGGCATGGGAGAGAACAAGGCAGATTCAATGAGGATGAAAGTGAAAGATGTTTGAGTTTGTAAATCTCCATGGGTACTCAGTCTCCCTCCATATACAGTACATGTCAACCCAATGCACAAAGCTATGGAACTCCAGCAAGGATCTCGATGTATGTTTACAGGAATCGACAAATGGGTCATGAACTCTTGCAAATTCCAAGAAAAAACCTTTAAAAAAAATTATTATTACACAGGTCACTAATAAATTTTTTAAATTGTTTAATGTAGACATAAAATTTTTTTTTTTCAAAGCATACAGTTGTGTAAGGGAAATATACATAAACAAATTAAAGCATTAAATGCAGTTCATTCCCTATGACCTAAAATTTAAATATGTATAGGCTGACTCGTGCCATAACCCTATGACCTCTATCATAGAGGCTTAGGGGGAAAATGTGTGTGAACTTTCACACGAACCAGCAAAGATCTTGATGTGAGCATACAGGATTCAACAAATGCAAACATTATGTTTTTCATACATTTACTACAGAGAGATGTGCAAGTGCATTTCTAGCATGCTTTGCCTATGAGTTTTTCCAGTAGTTGTACATCCGAATCTTCCGAATACATCCGAATCTTCTTGACAATGGAGATCTATTTCTGTCATTTACTATATCAGATTATCAGTCTAACATTGGCAGCAGAGCACTTGTGGGTTACAACTACTACACTTGTGCCATGATGTTGATCCGTTGTATAAACCAAACCAAACTAATGGTCAAATCAGAGATATCTTTTCATGAACTTAATATGCATGGAAAAGTTTGCTGAATAAATATTCTTATTCTCAGGTTGTGAATCTAGCCCGTCAGCTGATCTACTTCGGATTCTACTCATTTTCTGATCTCCTTCGCCTGACAAAGACACTTCTTAGTATCCTGGATTGTATCCCAGAATCCATTGCCAGCTCATCACACAGTGCCCCAGCTGTCACTGTGGGGATCAATGAAGGTAAGGTTTACACCAGAAGCCTCTGTTTTCTCCCAGGATGTTGGTAGAATTTGACAGTCCCTGTGGAAATAGTGAAAGTAAAGTTTACACCAGAAGCCTCTGTTTCCCAGGGATGTGGGTAGAATTTGACAGTCCCTATTAAAATCAGTGATGGTACGGTTTACACCTCTCTTCTGAGGGATGGAGGTGGATTATGTTAGTCACTGTTGGGGATCAGCAAAGGTGTACACCAGACTTCTCAGCTTTCCAAGGATGTTGGTAGAATATGTCAGTCACTGTGGGGATCAGTGAAGGTAAGGTTTACACCAGACTTCTCAGCTTCCCAAGGATGTTGGTAGAATATGTCAGTCACTGTAACATAACATAACATAACATAATCCTTGACCATTAGGGTCGTGGAGGTGTATTGATGGAAGCACTAGCACATAAAACCCGTCATCTTTCTCTGTCTTCCACTTGATGAATACGTGTATGATAACTTAGTCCTGTCCATTTCTTGATGTTGTCATTCCAGGTTCTCCTTTGTCCTCCTCTTCTTCGACTTACACACCCCCCCCCCTCCCCATTGTTATTTTGCAATCGAATCATGTCTCACCACGTCAGTCACTGTAGGGTTCAGTGAAGGTGAGATTTACACCAGACTTCTCTGTTTGCCAGTTAGTTGGTAGAATATGTCAGTCACTGTACATATCAGCAATGGTGATCAGGCTGCATCTCTGTTTGTGTGTTGTGCTCCAGGTTTCATTGCTATATAAGATAACTGGTCTTATCAGCCTCTTGTGTATACTGTTCTGATTACATACTTTATGTACATACTGTGGGTTTTTTGCTATGTCTCCCGCAGTGTCCATGAGCTCTGAATTCTGCTTCCTGGACTCCGGGGAGGATCTGGACCTACCTATATCAGAGAAGGCTACAGAGCTGAAGAACAAGAAGAAGAAGGAGGAGGAGGAGGACACCAAGATCATGGACACAAAGTTGAAGATTATTGAAATTCTCAAGGTCAGTTGGATTGTTTCGCAAGATGTTCTTAGTTCTTGTTAAGATTTACAATGTCCTCACATCATATCACGTAGAAAATCTCTGGGAAACTGAATTATAGATGCCAAACTCTTCTACAGGGAATTAATTTACTACTTGGGCCTGCTTAATATGTTCCCAGGAACTAGCAATAGAATGATTCCTTCTATCATTTTCTCACTCCTGCAGATCTCTCCCCTCCCCCTTTCTTCACTAGATATTGCCAGTTCAGCTCATTGATATATCTTCATTCTCCAAGATTCTGCTAAATAATTGGTGCTGCAATTAGTTGGAGTGTTGAGATTGGTTTTCATCGCTTCTTCAGGAGAACCATATGAATTGGCAGCTTTTCCATCAATTAGAAGATTGATAGCTTTTCTGTTTTTTCTTTGGACGTTGATCGTATCTCATAATAGAAATTCAGCTGGCTTCATTGTCTTCCTCAGGTAGAATAACATATACACAAAGGTACACAATTATTGGAGGTAAGCTAACCATCCTGTAGCTGATCAATCAAGTCAGTCAGGTGCCATCTCCACAGTGAAGGTTGGCTGCAATGGATCTCCAGCATTCTCTATCTTTTGCTCTGGTTGTACTCTCTTGGACTGCTGTTCGTCCATCTCTTGTATCGCTTTTTCTTTAAATAGGGCCTAAATATTTTACTGGTCTGTTTGTTATTTCCTGCAGCAACTCTTTTTCTATTCTTCACAACCTCTGTTCTTGATTGTTTTTAGTTTCCATGAACATGCTTCAGAACATAGGCATTCTGAATGGGTAGAAAGCCTTAAAAAATCGCACTTAACCTCCCTCACCTGGATCTACGCAACTGGTCATGCTGGTAAAAGGATTTTTAGCAAGTGGACCAACTGGCCAGCAATGCACCAATGCATGTGGGTAGAAGCATGGACAGGGCTGTATGGACTGGAATAATGGATACTGATGAATTTCCGTCACTGACTCGATTGCGTGACATTGGAGTAATGCACGTCTGTGCCGCCTTTGAGGCCGCGAATAGGAGATATTTTAACCAACCTCTCATAGAAAGAAGTACTTTTTAGAAGATGTACTTTGGAGTGGCTGCCGCATCAAAGAACTGAGCATGCATGGAAATGCCCATTGTGCTGTGACGTTGATTGTAATAACATAACATTCCATGAAATACAACCTGTTTTTCTGTATATCCACTTCTGCAGAGAGTATTTACATTTGTCTTCTCAGTGATGTTTCATATACTGAAACAAAATTCATATCCAGAGTAAATGAAGTAACAGACTGCCAGTGACAGAATAAGATGTTGGAGATAAGAGAAAACGTGTTTCAGAAATGAATAAACTGGTTTCCTACGCATAGATGGATTTTTATGTCTGGGATATTCGAGTGTGCAGGGTAATGAGCAGGCATTTAGATTAGCTGCTCTCACCCTACTGGGCAGTGAGCTACTTTATGATAAAGCAGTCATGGTGAAAGCTCTGTTGAGATTAAGTGGACAGTGCAGCAGAACAGACTTTAAAAGATTAATTTCTCAGGGGGAAAGTCATGGTTCTGGACCATATTTATAACTGAGGAGAAAACATATTAGCATGAGAAGTCTTCATTGGCTACTGCGGTGGGAGCCGGAGCATGTATGGGAATGTTCTGAGTGCACTAATGTCGTTCTTAATTGATTCATTATTCATTTATTCAACAACAAGAGTCACCAGTGATATATTTTACAGTTGAGTAAAAGTACAGTAAAGCTCCCTTTTTCACGCCTTTAGGCGTATGCAAAAAGAGCTAGACCTATATTTTTACAGACCAATTAGCACAAAATGGGTGAAGTGGACAGCATCAAACCAGCTGCCATTAACTTCCCGGGACTGCACCTGGTACCCACTCCAGGCTGGGTCGACCTGGGAGTCAAGGTCATTTTTTTGGAAAAAAAAGTCTGGCTCCACCAGTGAGTGAACCCATGACCTTCCGATCCACATGCGAGCGTTTAGCCGCTATGCCACGGTGACTCCCCAATTCGCAGTTAAGTCAGGTTGTTTATCATATGTTGTCATGGTTGGCTGTTTCAGTTTATCATGGATACCAGGCTAGATTTCAGAATTACCTCCCTTCTGTCCATATTCAAGAAGGAACATGACGAAAACTATAACCCAAATGAGAAGACTGGTAAAGGCTATTCTGATATATCTGCTGCATGCCAGTTTGCCATTTTATTTCCCGAGCTACTAACTTTCCCTGATATTTTAGCCTGCTTTTGGGGAACTGGTATATTTTTGTTTGCTGGACTAGAGCTTATATAGCTGGCTTTTTTGTAGGCTAATATAATCTAACAATGTCTGTCACAGTCTCATATTTACGCAGTGTGTGTTTGTGTGTGTGTATATATAAAACTAAAGCAGTGTAATCCTTTAAACTGTGTTATGTATCAGACTGTTGTCTGTCTGAGAGGCTGCTGTCTGTTTGAGAGGCTGTCTGAGAGGCTGGTGTCCATCAAAGAAGCTGTTGTCTAAGAGGGTAGGTTGTGTATCTGGCTGTTGTCTGGCAGTGAAACTGTTGTCTGGCAGGCTGCTCTCTGTCTAAGAGGAGGCTGCTCTCTGTCTAAGAGGAGGCTGCTGTCTGTCTGAGTGGCTGTTGTTTGACTGAGAAGCTGCTGTCCGAGAAGCTGCTGTCTGTCTGAGAGGCTGCTGTCCATCTCAGATGCTTTTGTTTGAGAGGCTGTTGTCTGTCAGAGAGGCTGCTGTCTGTCTGAGAGGCTGTTCTGTCTTAGCTGTCAGAGAGGCTGTCTGTCTGTCTGAGAGGCTGTTATTTGTCTATGCTGTTGTTTGTCTGAGAGGCTGTTGTCTGTCTGAGAGGCTTTTGTTTGTCTGAGAGGCTTTGTCTGAGAGGTTGCTGTCTTTCCGAGAGGCTGTTGTTTGTCTAAGGCTATTATTTGCATGATATGCTGTTATTTGACTGAGAAACTGTTGTCTGAGAGGCTGTTTTTTTTTACTGAGAGGCTATTTTTGACTGAGACACTGTTGTTTGACATAGAGGATGGTGTTGACTTTGAGAGATTGTCTGACAGAGAGGCTGTTGTCTGTCTGAAAGGCTGGTGCTTGACAGTCTGAAACACTGTTTATCCGACAATCTAACAGACTGTTGACCTTAATACTTTTGTCACACTTTTTTTTAAAATCAACATTTTAAATCTTGGGAACAGATTAGAGAAGACTTTCTGTTTGTTTGTTTTGTGGCATGTCTCCTAACGGATGTGAAATCACATGACCTTTCACCCAGGACATTCACATGCCCACACTGGCTAGATCTGTGCTACCAAATCACAGCCTGTTAGCATTCACAAGAATTGTCATCCTTAATGAAGACGATTTTAACCCACTGACTACCAAGCTCCTTAACCCTTGCACTTTCCCAGATATTACACATTTTAGTTTGTGCTGAAAATGCCACGGCTTCACAACTATTTATCATACACTTATCATAATTTGTGTTTTCGCTCCAGATTGAATGGAGAACACATTTCAAGCAAAAAATTGTGTTTATTTTGTTTTACATCATCATCATGTGCCTGTAGATTGGTGGAAAAAAGGCAACTAGCAAATCTGACAACAATATAGACTAACAAAAAGTGCCATAACTTCATAACGATTCATACATACGCTTATCACATTTTGTATTTTTGCACAAAATTAAATGCAGAACAAATTTCAAGGAAAAAAAAGGATTTATTTTGTTTGACACCTTCATAATCTGACTGTAGATATAGTGCACACACACACACACTAACACACACTAAAAAAAACTTAATTTAATGACATATAAAAATGAAATTGTATTGTTTTATCAGTATACAAAATGGTGTGCAATTCAATGTCTATGCACCCCAGTATATATATATATATATATATATCTGTGTGTGCGTGTGTGCATTTTACAGTATGGTACAGTTCATAACATCCTTCAGTGTAGCTCTAGACATTGCCTACATCAGTAACTTGTTATGGTTCTTTTGCGACCTTCTTTTTTTTTCTGGGTTCTTACACATCTTTTTCTACACACTCTTTACAAGGCCTTCAACAGGAACAGACACTCTGCAGCTGAAACTGTTTGGAAATGTTCTACTCAGCTTATAGACTTGCTAGATTGACAGGCGTGCATCACTGTACTGCATCTTGATTCGCTGATATTCTTCTATAGGTTTAATTTACCCCTTCAGTGATTTAAAAAAAAAAATGGATACCAAAGCCTCCTCTTTGTTGCATGTCTAAACCTGGGTGGCCATCTTTAAATTATAATTGTGACATCACCGAGTTTGTCTGCACTATGATGTAATGTGCTTAACACTCTTGACATCCTAAACAACAGTATTCAGATGTTACAAGACAGTTGGGTTGTAATTGTAATTTCTGTGGCACTTTAAAGGTTTTCATTTGAAGCCCTATAGTAATTAAAGATTTTGTGTTGCCTGCCTGCTGCTGGATGGTAAAACTTTTGAATATTTTAAAACTGATCTACACTCCCTGATTGGTCAAGTGTGCAGCTTCACTCCTCGATTGGTTGAGTCTATTACTGCACTCCCCAGTCGATTGAGTCCCCAGCTGCACTCCCTGATTGGGTGTGTCAACATCTGCACTCCCGATTTGCCGAGTCTGCCGCTGCCCTCCCTGATTGGTTGAGTCTACAGATGCACTCCCCAATTGGTCACATCTACAGTACTGGTACTGTACTGGGAAATAGTGTCAAGGCATGGAGAAGGATTCTCAAATTTTCAACAACTTATGCAGCATGGTTAATATTTGCCAGGGGATTCAACTAATGCTTGTTCTTGTTTTGTCCATGATGTGCACTTATACAGTATCTGATGCATGTGCGCCTGGACTATCGGCTGGCATGGATATTGGCTCTGTTTAAGTCTCAGATCCAGCCGCAGCTAGATAACAGCCCTGTTTACAAGTCTAACATTAACATACGTACGTTTGTCACTTCACTGGTATATGTTGTTTGCCTGAATGTAAACTCATCATGTCACCAGTGCTACATTTTATCTGGTCGTACATTTGTCTCATTTACTCGTTTGATGTTGCCTGAATGGACACTCTTCATATAATCAGTACTACATTTTATCTGGTCATACATTTATTTCACGTACTCGTTTGAAGTTGCCTGAATAGACACTCTTCATAAAATCAGTATTAATTTTATTTGGTCATACATTTATCTCACATACTCGTTTGATTTTGCGTAATTGGACATCCTTTCATATAATCAGTATTATATTTTATCTGGTCGTACATTGTCTCATGTACTTGTTTAATGAAAGTAGATCTCTATATATATCAGTAAAAAGAGACAAACACTGTCCTTTAGCCACATAATGAGAAGAAAGGCATTGGAGAACATCGTGACAACTGGAAAGATGAGTGGGAAAAGGGATAGAGGCAGATCAAGAGAGATGATGCTGGATGGGCTGAAACAATGGCATGAAGAGATATCATTAAGAGAGATGTTCCAGGCAACCAGAGATCATGATCTGTGGGGACGCATAAATGCCTATGCCAGTTGGCAGGGCACATGGTGATGATAATGATGACTCGTTTACATTTATCTTACATACCTGTTTGATGTTGCCTGAATAGACACTCTTCCTTTCAATATTACATTTTGTCTGGCTGTACATTTATTTATTGGTTGCGTTTGTTGTCATTTTTAAATATTTTTTTTTTTCCCCTTCCTTCTTCCATGACTTGGATGATCATTGTGAACCCTTTTGTTGTGTTGTTGTGGATCATGAGCATTGTGAAAAACCTGAGAGTCCAACCTTTTTATTATGTTGTCATGAGTCATGACCATTTGAAAAATCTGACAGACCAACCCTTTTGCTGTCTTGTGTTGATGAACTTTTAAAAAAAAAAACAGTTTTTGCTGTGTTATGGTGGGTCTTGAGCATTTTAAAAACCTGAGAGGGTCCAACCACTTTGTTGCTGTGTTGTCATATGTCATGAGCATATTAAAAACCTGAGAGGGTCCAACCAGCATGAGAGGGTCCAACCACTTTGTTGCTGTGTTGTCATATGTCATGAGCATATTAAAAACCTGAGAGGGTCCAACCAGCATGATAGGGTCCAACCACTTTGTTGCTGTGTTGTCATATGTCATGAGCATATTAAAAACCTGAGAGGGTCCAACCAGCATGAGAGGGTCCAACCACTTTGTTGCTGTGTTGTCATATGTCATGAGCATATTAAAAACCTGAGAGGGTCCAACCACTTTGTTGCTGTGTTGTCATATGTCATGAGCATATTAAAATCCTGTTTTAGGAAGTTATAAATGGCAAGCTACTAGCATTGGATAGAGCTAATAGAAACTGGAGGTCACAGAAGTGAACTTTTTTTTCGGTGCTGTGTGGTCTTGGGGCATGGCATCTGCCTTGAGTGCTGGAGGTCCCGGGTTCAGGCCCCAGACAAGGCTGGGATTTTTTAAGGGACTTGGACTTCTAGTTGTTTCCCCTGGTCTCTGGGTCTCTGAGATCTGACGCCCGTGTGCATTGTTGCGCACGTAAAAAGTCCCTTGGCAGGGCAGTTGGAAATTGAAAAGAGTAGCCTAACGGCGCTGCCCGGGCAAAATTTGGAGTTAAAAATCTACTCAAAGTATTTCAGGATCCTTGCTGGTGCTACAGAGCCTGAGCACTGAGCTTAGCTACTTGGGACTTGAGTTAGAAGAAAAAAGGAGCACTTATGGGTTACTACGCGTGTGCCATGATGTTGATCCGTTGTTCAAAACCTCACACCCCACAGGCCCTAGCTTGTGTCTGTAGAGTAACAGTTGCAATTTTTTTCCCAATGGGCTTCCCTCTTGAATATATAGCAAAGCAACTCCCCCCCCCCCCCCTTCCCCACACATACACATGCATGATGCACTGTCTCTCTCTCTCACTTTCTCCCTCCCCCCCCCCCCCCTCTCTCTCTCTCTCTCTCTCTCTCTCTCTCTCTCTCTCTCTCTCTCTCTCTCTCTCTCTCTCTCTCTCTCTCTCTCTCTCCTGTCTATGTCTCTTTAAGAAAAATGTGATTAAACAAATGAGAACAACAAATATCTCAGGCACTATTATTACCAAGAACTTGGAGTATACATTCACATAAATCAAGCATCTAACAGTTAATTAGCTTATTAATGGTGGGTGTACAAACTGCTAATGGAAACAAAAACACCCTTGGCTTTGTGTTTTGTAGCTTAAAAAAAATTATTTATAATTAAGCGAACAATTTTTACTATAACAGATTATTACAGGTACAAATTCATTTAATTTCAAAATTGCTTGGATTCCCCTCCCACTTTCCCCAAAAAAGTCATCTTTAGAGACCCCTCCCGCTTTCCAGATTGGAAAAATAACTGCTCTAGGGTAAGATTCACAGATAAGTCAATATAAATGCACTTTATTATAATGTTTTATGTTCTTAAACGAGATTGGTTTGTTGGAATGCTCTATATGCTTGCTTTGTAAAATAAGTGTGTGCTCATTATGGTTGCACCAGTTTCACCTGTTGTTATGCTCATATGTTCCCCATGGTGTTCTGTAGCCCCATTGCCCTGCTTCCAAACAGACATGTCATACTAGGTGACTGATTAGAGATATTTACTTCAAACTCAGAGAAAATCTGCCGTACAGGCCAAGAACCAACAGTCTGCATTCATATAGGTCAGATCTGTGAAACGGATGTGCACGCAAAACTTTTTCTGGAGCAAGACGCAAGTGCAGAAGTGTTGTGAACAGCTATAACTTACACAAACAAACTTTCCACTAAAGTTCACAGCCGGTGAATGTGAAGAAGAAGAATTTTCATATAACAGTATTTATTGGTCATGGTTATAAAACAGGGGTTCTCAACCTTCCTAATGCCATGACCCTTTAACACAGTTCTTCGTGTTGTGGCGACTCCCAACCATACAATTATTTTCATCGCTGCTTCATAGCTTCAGTGAATATTTGTTTTGCGATGGTTTTTGGCAACCCATGTGAAAGGGTCATTCAACCTCAACAAGAGTTGAGAACCGCTGTTAAAAAAGGTCTCACATCAGAACAACAAATCGTTTTGTTTTATGAAGATCTTGTATGCATTTTATCTGTTACTGTTTGCTGTGTTAACTCTGCCAATTGTTACTACTTTAGAGCAAGGTTATTCATCAAAGTTTACTTAGGGACCAAAATGTTGAAAGTAAGGAAAGTAGCAGTTCAAAGGCCTGAGCCGCAGTGCAGACAGATCATTTATACAGTTGGGGGTGATCCAGGGGCCACTTGCTAGGCCTCTGCGAGCCAGATTCGGCCCACAGACTGCCAATTGAATCTGTCTTTTTCTGATAGTCAGTGAAATGGAGTGGGTTAATCTAACAAGTACTGGGGTAAGAAAACTATGACCCAATGGGTTAATGTAACAAGTACTCAGGAAAGAAAACTATGACCTAATGGGTTAATGTAACAAGTACTGGGGTAAGAAAACTATGACCCCATGGGTTAATGTAACAAGTACAGGGGTAAGAAAACTATGACTCAGGGGGTTAATGTAACAAGTACTGGGATAAGAAAACTATGACCCAATGGGTTAATGTAACAAGTACTGGGGTAAGAAAACTATGACCCAATGGGTTAATGTAACAAGTACTGGGGTAAGAAAACTATGACCCAATGGGTTAATGTAAAAAGTACTGGGGTACTGGGGTAAGAAAACTATGACCCAATGGGTTAATGTAAAAAGTACTGGGGCAATAAAAGTATGAAATGGGTTAATTTAACAAGTACTAAGGTAAGAAAACTATGACCCAATGGGTTAATGTAACAAGTACTGGGGTAAGAAAACCGGCTCCCAGTGGGTTAAAGTAATAAGTACTGGAGTTAGAAAAGTGATCTATTGGGTTAAGGTAACAAGTACTGGAATTAGAAAACTGATTTAATGGGCTAAAGTAACAAGTACTTGAGTTAGAAAACTGTGACCCAGTTGGTTAATGTAACAAGTACTAGGGTAAGAAAACTTTAACTTATGGGTTTCTGTAATTTGGACTTGGGTTAGAAAAGAAAGATCCAGGGGGTTATTGTAACAAATACTAGGGTTAGAAAACTGACCCTATGTGTAAATGTAACCATTTAAGTTAGCTGTGTGTTCTTTACAAGAGGTTGCAGGGCCAACCTCAGCATTTCTTGGCGGTTGTTGTTTTTCTAGGCAAATTTTACTTTCAGTAGTTTGCAATGTAACAAGTACTGGGAGTAAAAAACTATGACCCTATGGATTAATGTAACAAATGCTGGGTTTAGAAAACCATGACCCAGGTGGTTAATCAACAAGTACTAGGGTAAGAAAATTATAACCAAGTGGGCTAATGTAACATGTACAGTGGCTAAGAAACTATGACCTAGATGGTTAATTAACAAGTACTAAGGGTAAAAAACTATGACCAAATGGGTTAATGCAACGAGTACTGTGTTAAGAAAACTATGACCCAGTGGGGTAATGTAACAAATGACTAGGATAGACGATAATTACATTTATTTAAGTCTAAGTCCGGACCTGTTATATACACATGGTTGTTATGTTCGCATTGTTGTTATGTACACATTGTTGTTATGACTGTACATTTAATTGTTTGCTTTTCTTGGCTAGGTTTGGATCTGGACAGCATTGCTACCCAGGCTGAGGATGTCTTTGGAGGGAGGTAGGACTGAGAAGCTTGTTCCACTCAGTGTGTGTAACATTTTGGTCTGTGGTTGAGGTGACTGCTGTGGTATTTTGATGATGGTTAAATGGGTTCCCTCCCATTACAGCATCCATAATATGGTTAGCCAGACACGGTGGCTAGGAAATTATGAGGTTGAGGGAATGGGTAAGAAATTTTAAATGCTGGTGGAGCGGCTAGGAAAAGTTGATGCTAGAGTGGCTAAGAAATGTTGATATTGGTGGAGCGGCTAGGAAAAGTTGATGCTTTGGTGGCTAAGAAATGTTGATACTGGTGGAGTGGCTAGGAAAAGTTGATGCTAGAGTGGCTAAAAAATGTTGATACTGGTGGAGCGGCTAGGAAAAGTTTATGCTTTAGTGGCTAAAAAATGTTGATACTGGTGGAGCGGCTAAGAAAAGTTGTTGCTAGAGTGGCTAAGAAATGTTGATACTGGTGGAGCGGCTAGAAAAAGTTGATGCTTTAGTGGCTAAGAAATGTTGATACTGGTGGAGCGGCTAGGAGAAGTTGATGCTAGAATGGCTAAGAAATGTTGATACTGGTGGAGTGGCTAGGAAAAGTTGATGCTAGAGTGGCTAAAAAATGTTGATACTGGAGGAGCGGCTAGGAAAAGTTGATGCTTTAGTGGCTAAGAAAGGTTGATACTGGAGGAGCGGCTAGGAAAAGTTGTTGCTAGAGTGGCTAAGAAATGTTTATACTGATAGAGTGGCTAGGAGATGTTGATACTGATAGAATGGCTAGGAGATGTTGATACTTTTAGAGTGGGTAGGAAATGTTGATACTGATAGAGTGGCTAGGAAATGTTGATACTGATGGAATGGTTAAGATATGTTGATACTGGTGGAGTGGTTAAGATATGTTGATACTGGTGGAGTGGCTAGAAAATGTTGATACTGATAGAGTGGCTAGGAAATGTTGATACTGATAGAGTGGCTAAGATATGTTGAGGCCGACAGTTTCCAGCAAACAGTTTGACTGAGAGTGTTAAAGAAATAATTAGGTAGTCAGAATAGCCTAAAATATGGGAACTCTTCTTCTAGAAGAGTGATTCCCAAACTACGCAGCGGTGCCCTGAGGAGCCGCAACCTCTTCACAGGGACGCCGTGAAATATTGTAAAAGCTTCATAATTCATTTAACCAAGACAAAAATAGTCATACTTTTACTTAGGTTAGGGCCCCGTGGAAAAATTTTTAATAAAAAAAAAAAAAAGGTGCCGCGACCAAGAAAAGTTTAGGTAACACTGCCCTAGAACACTTATCATTGCCTTAGAGTTAAGAAAAAAAAGGGTGGGTGTGGGGGGGGGGGGACAGAAAACAGAAATCTTATACACACACAGGAAAAGATTAATGAATTTATGTTTTTGTTCTCAAGATTAAATATTATGACAGCAGACAGTAAGTGGAAACAGCACCAGTGGTAGGTCTATGTTAAAAACAGATTTTTCTTTTTATTTACCAGCTGTAAATTCTAGCAGAAAGTTCTGGTTGTTTGTTCACTTTTGGACTTTGGTCTTTTTCCTGAACTTGAATTCTGCATAGACATCCAAATAGCAGATCTGGCTTATATGTAAGCAAACTGTTGATTTCTCGCCTTTCAGGTAGATGCACTGCAACTTCAAAGGAGGCAGTTGGTCAGTTCCCACCCTCTGACCCCCACAATGGGGCCCTGGCACCTACATGGGGAGTTAAATACAATAAAACAGATGCCTAGGTAGGGCAACAAGATGGTGGCCAGTATAGATCTTGCAGTTAGACACAATAATCTGTGGTAGTGACAGTTGTTCATTTGGAAACTAACAAACAATTAAATGCAATCTCTAACATAATATTGACTGTTGACGTACCTCAGTGATGAACTGGATCTGGATGGACAAGGTGGCAAGATGTTTCTGAGAGTCCTGCTTAACATGGTCATGCACAACTACCCACCACTAGTCTCCGGAGCCTTGCAGTTGCTCTTCAGACATTTCTCCCAGCGCCAGGAAGTTCTGAACGCCTTCACTCAGGTAGTGTCTCATCAGCATTCTCCTGTGTTTTTTTGTTCACAGTATGATAGAGAATGATAAGTTAAATCCCTTTTCCTTGTGTGGGTTCCGGGGGCCTTATTATTAGGGAGAATAAGAATAGACACACTGCCTACCCAAAATCATGTCGTAAGAGTTGACTAAATGGGAGCTTCCTTCGAAGTCGATGTGTATCTGCCTGAGAGGCAAGGAACCATGTCTGCAGTCCAGAAGTGGACAAACAACCAGAACTACTGCCAGAGTTTACAGCTGGTGAACGTGAAGAAGAAAATTAACCTTTTCACCCCGAGAAGCCAAAATATAGTCATTTTTAGTTGTGCCATGTCCCCCTAAATCAGCGGTTCTCAGCCTGTGGATCACGACTCCTTTGGGGGTCGAACGACCCTTTCACAGGGGTCACCAAAGACCATTGGAAAACACATAGTCACTGAAGTTTATGAAGTAGCAATGAAAATAATTTTATGGTTGGGAGTCACCAAAACATAAGGAACTGTACTAAAGGGTTGCAGCATTAGGAAGGTTTTGAGCCACTGCTCTAAATCAAGGCTATTCAGCTGGCAACCCGCGGCAAAAACAGTGATATTTGTTTGCTGGCGCTCTGCGATCTGAGCCGCCTCCATTTTCAGCATTTTAGCCCTTAAGTAAATGTAATTGCCGTGCTGAGATGCTGATTTATGGCCATGTCTGCAGTGACCTGGCCTCAGAAAGCATAGTTAAATCCATCTGTCCTGCATTATATCCTGTTATTACTAATAACCGCATCTGTGGTATGGGGTTATGAATGTTGCCAGATCCTGCTTTCAATTCAGCTGCAAGTGATTTGGCAGAAAACTGCTTTGTCTTTTTTTTTTTTCGACAACTGTAGGCATGTCAGCTCCTCAGAAAGTGGGAGCAAATTAATGAATGTAAAATTGCCTAGTAGACCCACAAAAAACTAAAAGATGCTGTGATGTGTTTGTAAATGATTTGTAACAGACTTTTACAAGTAATAGTCGCAACATTTTCTACTTTAATAATTATCTGCTACGTATGGATGTGAGTCACAGACACGCTTACTCAATCACTCAAGTAAAACTTTTGAGTTGAAATGTGTCAAGGGTCTGTGTGGCTATGGGATGACTATAGGTGATGATAGTGAATGATCCAGTACTTAAATGACTCTTAGCAGCTACACGTTCAACAGCCCACAGGAGTTCCCGACTAGGATAGCGTGATGGACGAGTGAAGACTCTGATTCACAGGGTATTGGCAGAGCTCACAGTGATTGGGAGACTGGACAGATGAGACTGAACGAAGGGTTTTCAGGAAGTTGGCTCAGGCTTGGTCTAGACGTGTTGTGTTTTGACCACTTTGTTTTTCTGATTGAGTTAGGTTAAGGACGGTTAGTTTGTGATAACATGTTAGCCTGACGGCATTATAATTTAAATGTTATTCTATGTTATAGAGAGATAGTCAATTGTGTTTAGGTATATTAGTGTTCATTCACAATTAGCTGTGTCTTAGCGAGGTGGTTCCCTAGCGAGGGTCGTTAGTCAAGAAGAAGAGAATGAGTTCCTGGGTGTGACAACGCAGCACAGTGACTTAGTCTGTCTGATCATAATACCCAGAGCCGTGCGGTAGTACAGCAGTCTCAGTGTAGGGTTCAGAGGTGTAGGAAAGAGCTGGCTGCAGAGACTGTTGGTTCAGACCTGGTTAATGCCTGGAAGCAGCAGAAAGGCCAGTGTGTGAGTGGTGATTGTAAAGCACTCTGGCCAGTTGGTGTAAGGTTTGCAAGCCACTTCTGGGGCGAACTGCCAGTCACTTGTGGTAAATTATAGTAAAGGCTGATGTGAATGCTCTGACAGTGTTGTGTTTGAGACAGACACCTGTCATGGAGTTATCAACTAGCTATTTGCCTTTATGGTGATCTATCTCTGACAAAATGCTACATGAAAATTCTCAGAATACCATTAGCCAAAAAGAGGGAAAACAACCGACATCCTACATGATGTGATCTTAGATGACATGGTGGCCTGTGGAGAATGGCAGTGGAGGTTGCAGTTTCTGGAAAACAAGACAGACTCGCCAACCTCTATGAAGGTGGATACAAGACACTGAAGATACATTAGCCATGAATGCATATAGGGCTGGGGAAATGGCTAGAGACAGAGAGACTTTGAGGAATGCTACAATGAGAGTAACTTTTATATAGAACCTGGTGGTTGATGATGAATTATGTGTTAATTAAAATGGCCATGTGACTAGAAATTCCCAGACTGGCCGAGTCTTCTTCTTTGCTTCTTCTTTTACCGCTTCGGGTGTCGAAGGAAAAGATTTTGCTCGTTGCTCTTCTAGCCACATTGACTGTAGATCTGTAGTGCTATTGTAGAGTTTCTCTGATGTTATCTCCCATCTTGATCTACCTCATGCTCTATATCCTTCTCCTCCTTTGTTTGGTGTGTGCCTTGTATGGTATGATTACAAGGCATTCTTTCTAAATGTGCAAACCATTTTTGTTGTGTTGTTTTTGTAAGTAATTCAGAATTGGTTCTGTGCCAGCTTTTTCTCTTATGACCTCATTTCTGATTCTCTCTCTTCTGGTCACTCCTACAGCCCTTCTCAGACATCTCATTTCCGTGGTTACTAATTTTGTTTTCTGGTTTGTTGTGAGTGACCATGTCTGGCACTGAAGCGGCTGAGCTGAAGGATACAAGTAATCATTTTCTACAATGAAATGACATTGGGTCAATTTGCTCTGCAGGTCCAGTTGTTGGTGACCACCAGCGATGTGGAGAACTACCGACAGATCAAGTCTGACCTGGACAAGTTACGTCTGTTGGTGGAGAAGTCAGAGCTCTGGGTCTACAAGGGAAAGCACGGGGAGGATGCTCCAAAGAAGAAGAAGAAGAAACCAGCTGATGAAGAGGGTGGTGATGGAAAAGAGGGTTCAGAGAAGAGTGAGAAGAAAGCCAAGAAGGAGTACTTGGTATGTATAGAACTGGTGTTTGTTTTAACAATTGGAGCAGTGATTCTCAAACAATGTGGCGTGCCACAGAGGTTTGAAGGTAGAAAATTGCTATTGTTTGTTTAGTTTTAGAAGATCACTTAACTGCACACTGCTACCTCCATAGGGTTTTAGTCTCCTCTCATAGATGACATAAAGACAGTCTCATCACAGCACTTGAAAGCTATAGTATATTTGTTTCTGGTGATGAAATGTGTAGTTTTTTATTTAATCTTTTTGATCAATTCCTTATTCTTTTTTATTTATTTTAATTTATAATGAACAGGCAACTAAAAAATCAGATTGAGTCTCTGAAAATATGGATATATGCGGAAGAATATATTGTATTTCATGGAAACAAAAAACAAAAACAGGTTCTGGACAGGCTGCAAATGAAAAGGTTATTGAAATAAATAAAATGGAAACAATTGAAGTACTTTAAACATATTAAAAAACATTTTCTTTTAAAAATCCATACCAGAGGGAAAAGACAAAGGCAATAGAGCAAGGGGTAGACAATCTTACAAGTGGGAGAACAACAGTCTGAGAAAGTATATATTCAAAACAAGAGACTGAGTATGTTTTGTAGCCAACCTCCATTGTGGAGATGGCACCTTATTGATGATGATTTATACTTATTTGTTATTTATTTAACCTTCTGAGTAGTTTACAGGGCACAACTAATAACAAAACCATGTGTACACAAGTTTCAATATAGGTGTATCAGCCATGTGCACCTGTGGAAAAGTGCCAAAGACAGCAGAACATATATTCCAGAATTGCACAGAATATGATAAACTAAGGCAAACCTTTTGGCCAGAAAGAACAACAGTGCAACGTAAACTCTATGGACCACTGAATGAATTAAAACCGACAGTAAAATTTATCTGAGAGACAAAAATTGCTGATATAGACTTTTTTTCAGGCGAAAGAAAGAAAAAAAGTAGTAATAGTTTACTTTCACTGATATATGGAATAGCTTTTTGTTTATTTGCAACCAAGAGTAGTTTTGTATGACAGTCTTGAACTTCTTTGTTGGCAGTCGAGTGCAGGGGCAGAATCAGCGATTGACTTGGATCTGGGCCCGCCGGTCAGCAGTGACTCCACTGTGAACTACAAGACTATTAAAGGGGTAAGGAGTGTTGTCAGGGAAGATTGCTCTTAGAGAAGGTGGTATATCATTGGAGATGATCTGTTATAGCTGATGCATGTAAACTAGCTTGTACATTAGGGGAGATGACCTGTCACAGGGGATACATGTAAACTAGCTTGTAAATCTGGGGAGATGATCTGTCCCAGTTTATACATGTGAACTCACTTGTACATTAGGGGAGATGATCTGTCACAGTTGATAACATGTAAACTAGCTTGTATATCTGGGGAGATGATCTGTCACAGTTGATACATGTAAACTCACTTGTACATCTGGGGAAATCATCTGTCACAGTTGATACATGTAAACTAGCTTGTTCATTAGTGGAGATGATCTGTCACAGTTGATACATGTAAACTAGCTTGTACATCTAGGGAGATGATCTGTCACAGTTGATACATGTAAACTCACTTGTACATTAGTGGAGATGATCTGTCACAGTTGATACATGTAAACTAGCTTGTACATCTAGGGAGATGATCTGTCACAGTTGATACATGTAAACTCACTTGTACATCTGGGGAAATGATCTGTCACAGTTGATACATGTAAACTAGCTTGTTCATTAGTGGAGATGATCTGTCACAGTTGATACATGTAAACTAGCTTGTACATCTAGGGAGATGATCTGTCACAGTTGATACATGTAAACTAGCTTGTTCATTAGTGGAGATGATCTGTCACAGTTGATACATGTAAACTAGCTTGTACATCTAGGGAGATGATCTGTCACAGTTGATACATGTAAACTAGCTTGTACATAAGGGGAGATGATCTGTCACAGTTGATACATGTAAACTCACTTGTACATTAGGGAAGATAATCTGTCACAGCTAATACATGTAAACTAGTTTGTACATCTAGGGAGATAATCTGTCACAGTTGATACCTGCAAACTCACTCAACTTGAGGAATTCCGATTGATTCTGGTGTGCCATGCTGCAGATTACTCTAGTTGTCTGCAGTCTACTGTCAGTCTGGAATCATTAATCACATGACATTAGGTGTTCTGTTTGTGCCTTGTGATTTGCAGATCCTTCAAAGGCTGACGAAGCTGTGTATTCAGGAGGCGGGAGACATTAGGAAGGCTCGCAAGCATGAGCAAAGGCTGCTGAGGAACATGAATGCTCACTGTGTGATTCTGGAACTGCTGAGTATTACGTATGATAAGGTGAGGATTGACTCTAGAACTGCTGAGTATTACGTATGATAAGGTGAGGATTGATTCTAGAACTGAATATTACATATGATAAGGTGAGGATTGATTCTAGAACTGATGAGTATTACGTATGATAAGGTGAGGATTGATTCTAGAACTGAATATTACATATGATAAGATGAGGATTGATTCAAGAACTGAATATTACGTATGATAAGATGAGGATTGATTCTAGAACTGCTGAGTATTACGTATGATAAGGTGAGGATTGACTCTAGAACTGCTGAGTATTACGTATGATAAGGTGAGGATTGATTCTAGAACTGAATATTACGTATGATAAGATGAGGATTGATTCTAGAACTGCTGAGTATTACGTATGATAAGGTGAGGATTGACTCTAGAACTGCTGAGTATTACGTATGATAAGGTGAGGATTGATTCTAGAACTGAATATTACATATGATAAGATGAGGATTGATTCAAGAACTGATGAGTATTACGTATGATAGGTGAGGATTGATTCTAGAACTGAATATTACATATGATAAGATGAGGATTGATTCTAGAACTGCTGAGTATTACGTATGATAAGGTGAGGATTGATTCTAGAACTGAATATTACATATGATAAGATGAGGATTGATTCTAGAACTGCTGAGTATTACGTATGATAAGGTGAGGATTGATTTTAGAACTGCTGAGTATTACGTATGATAAGATGAGGATTGATTCTAGAACTGCTGAGTATTACGTATGATAAGATGAGGATTGATTCTAGAACTGCTGAGTATTACGTATGATAAGGTGAGGATTGACTCTAGAACTGCTGAGTATTACGTATGATAAGGTGAGGATTGACTCTAGAACTGCTGAGTATTACATGTGATAAGGTAAGGATTGATTCTAGAACTGTGAATATTACATATGATAAGGTGAGGATTGATTTTAGAACTGCTGAGTATTACATATGATAAGGTGAGGATACATTCTGGAACTCCTAAGCATTACATGTGATAAGGTGAGGATTGATTCCGGAACTGCTTAGTATTACATGTGATAAGGTGAGGATTGATTCCGGAACTGCTTAGTATTACATGTGATAAGGTGAGGATACATTCTGGAACTCCTAAGCATTACATGTGATAAGGTGAGGATTGATTCCGGAACTGCTTAGTATTACATGTGATAAGGTGATGATTGATTCTAGAACTGCTGAGAATTACATATGATATGGTGAGGATATAGAAGGGGTAAACCGGTGGAAGGTGGGTCAGATTTACAACATATAAATTAATGACACAGAAGGGAGGGGCTATGGATACGTTTTATAAATGATAAGTGCCAGACAGAGGAGAGTGGACACATGTTTAACAGATTAGTTTTGAAAGTCGGGAGATGTGAACCAGCGTCATTGCACATGGTTAAAAACCATAAGTGGTCTGCCACCAATACGGACAGCTGATAAGAAACTGTCCGCCTGTGTCGCCGTCTGCACCCATTTCTTTCTGTAGGTACAGCAACGTTCCTCCATTTACCCCAGAGTGTTAATTCTGGTACCCATTACCTAGAGGCTGGGTGAACCTGGGAACTGCCCGGTTTCAAACATCGGCTGTGGGCTGCAGCGAGTCACAGCTGAATTTGAAAGTGAGTCTCCTATCGACTACATTAACACTTCCCACAGATAGATTAGTTTTATAAATGATAAGTACAAGAATGACTCGAGAGGACACGTGTAACAGTTTAGTTTTATAAATGGTAAGTGCAAGAATGACTCGAGAGGACACGTGTAACAGTTTAGTTTTATAAATGATAAGTGCAGTGTTGAATGTTGAATTAGGAATCGACAGCACTCAGGACATCCCCATAAGTGCTCCATCGTCATCTTCAGCAGCAAGCAAAGAGTTCCAGTTCCGATGGTACCAGTAACTGTTTTGTATATCCATCTTGCCTTTTCCCTGAGTGTTGAGCGCCAGCCAGATCTCATCCTCTTGTAACTCTTTGCAGCGCCATTCTCCCCAGACTGAAATGATCTGTGCCTCCGCACTGATTAATCGCTTCCAATGAGCCCTCACAACATCCATAAGCTGGTCATACATCAGTTCACCACCAAGCATTGCAGAACCAACCATCTTCCTGCTCATTTCCCTGCTCATTTCCCAAGACACTGGCATACCCTGGAGAAAGTATCCAAAGGATGCTAACTACCTGGGACCTCTGAGGTGACGCTTGCCACTCCGCACGGAGCATGCCTGTCTCCACCTTTCAGTGATAAGAGAAAGACAGAAGAGAGATGACAAAAGAGAAGGCACTAAGAGCTTAATTTTTAAAGGGCTACAAAGCAGGAACTCTGGTCTGTCTAACGTACTGTCCTTTTCTCATCTTACATACACGGGTTTTTTTTCTCTGTCACATTTGTTACATGTTTGCTCTTAACAGTAATAGAATAGAAAGTGAGGAAATTGGGGAGAGAGAGAGTATTGTGTATTGCTGTTTTCTAAGATGTAAGTTAGTTAATCAACTGATCATCTTCTTCGCACATCAGAAAAGTCCATAAGCACTCAAATCCCATCTACAGTGGTGACTGAAAGGACCAGTTCTTTGTTAGTTTACTATTCTTCTTGAGCTACCTGTGTCCTGTGTTTATGTCAAGTAACAGATATTTTGACCTGAAGTTCTTGTAGTCTTGTTAAAGGTTGCAGATTTACCATTGTCTCCTGAATCATCTTCTCATCCTACTTCCTTGAGAGTGATTAGAACATTGGCCAGGTTTCGTTGCTTTTTCTGTGCCTACAATGTCAAGTAGACGTGCTCTGTTATAAGGTATGTGAGAATCTGAACTGCATGTTTTATTTAAGGTGGGCAGGAAAGATTGGATAATGTTAGGGGAAAGGTCACATTACCTGATGTAAAAAGGGGGAGGAGGAGGGGAGGGGGGGGGGGGGGGGGGGAGGTGTTTCAGAGGCTTTCAAGAATACATATAATGAGGTAAAAAGAGATCTAGAGCTTCACAAAAGTAGATTGGCCTCATGTTTAAAAAGACAATTTAGAAATAAACTGAGTTGGTCAATTCACCTCGCAACCCAATCCAAGTAAAGTATATAGCCTTTCTTACCACGTTTTATATTTCCTGTCGTCACATCATATTATGTGAAATAAATAGCTGCAGTATTTTCATTCACCAGAATGATAGATTTGGGAGTTAAGATCGGCATAGCAACAAAAAAAAAACAACAAAAAAAACGAGATGCGCACCAGGCACATCAGAGAACTTGTTAATGAACATAGAACTGGTGCTATTACGACTGGATGCTGGGGTTGATACTGAGGGGAGGACATGTCCAGTGTACAATAATGAAAAACCAGCTAACTAACTAACTAGTTAGCTAGCTAACTTACTGACTAGCTAGCTAGTTAACTAACTAACTGATAATATCAGTTTGTCTTTATCTGGTTTATGTTTCTCATGTGAATGTGTGTGCTTGTAGGACCAAGACAGCAGAATGAATGAACTGATGAAACTGGCCCATGAGTTCCTTCAGGCATTTTGTCTCAACAACCAGCCCAACCAAAGCCTGCTGGAAGACAAGCAGGAGCTGTTTCTGACCCCAGGGGTAAGTCCAGTGTCAGATGGAGAGCTGCTGTCTACACATTTAATACAGATGACAGTGGTGATCCCTGAGGTAACCCTGGCATGACGGTCCACTGATTTGACATCCGTGTCTGACAGTGCAACACTATGTTCAAAGAGTGCCACTGATCCAGTTGATAGCGTTGGATCAGTATTCATATCTAAAGCAGCATCTTGAGGTAGTCATGGGGATCGCTGTTGTATACATCCTTAAGATCGGTGGCTGCTGCAGCTGTTTCTTTGCGTCTGGGATCCCTAAGTCATTTCCCAACAAATCCAGAGAGTACTCCTAACGCATATGCTCCGCAGTAAAGCATGCCACTCTGCACGAAGCATGCCTGTCCTGACCTTCCTCATCATGCTTTCTGAGTCAGTTACAATAATCAGGGTGTGTCGTGTTCTGTAACCTGTGGAAAGCTGCAGTGACCGCCTCCACCTCTATTCTTGAGCTGGATGTGGTGGTATCAAATGCTAGGCTCTCCTGCACCAAACGTCGACCCTTAATTTTTGCTAAGAAACCCCAAGCACTTATTTTGCCTCTTGACACTTCAAGGTTAGGGGGAAGTAACCCCTCAGTCTCCAAGATCTGGAAATGTTAAATGAAGACCCAACATCACAGCACTCAAGACTTCCCCATAAGTGCTCCGTCCCCCTTTTTCAGCAGCAAGCGAAGAGTTCCAATTCTGATGGTACCAATAACTGTCTGATTATACATCCATCTCGCTTTTCACCTGAGGGTTGAGCATTGGCTAGATCCCCTTGTCACTCCTTGCACGGCCATTCTCCTCAGACCTTAATGATCTGTTTCTGCCTTCGCTCTGTTCACTCGCTCTCAGAAGGTCCACACAACATCTAGCGTGTCATACATCAGTTCTCCACCAGGTGGTGTAGAACCGGCCAGTCTATCTCTCTGCTCATTTCCAAACACACCGGTATGACCTGAAGAAAAAACTCCAAAAGACGATTTGTGCCCCATTATCTTTTCAAGTGGTTTGCTTCTAGAAGCAAGGCCTCCCTGACGACTGTAAGTACAGTAATTCATGAATTGAATCCAGTCAATATCTGTGGTTAAGCATTGTCAGTGATCTTTGTGATTATGAAGTACCCGGTTTCAGCTGCTGGTGATTTGGCAACAGATCACTTGGTGTTGATTTCAACAGTAGCATGGCTACAGAACTAAAGAATGTGAAATTCATCATCATCATTAATTTCTGCTTCTGCCACTAAGCATTGTGGGCAGGAACAGTTTGTGATCCATTGCCTCACAGGCAGCAGTGGCTGTTATCATTCTGAGTCGACATAGAAGCTCTTTAATGTCATCAGTCTATGTCCTCTTATGGTGGCCTTTTACTGTCGATTCAGATTTTTTCATATGTCGTGCCTGCGCTGGTAGTTGTTCTGGCTGCATTCTTACTAAATGACCAAACCAATTGATCTTCTGTTTCTCAGTGAATTTGCTGCATGGTGGTAATTTCTACAGTCTGTCTGATGATATCATTTCTAACTTTGTCTCAGATGGTTGAGCTGGCAACTTTTCTCAGGCATCTCATTTCACAGGTGTTAATTTTGCGTAGGTTGGCCTTTGATATTGTCCAAGTCTGTCACTGATAGCACAGTGTTGGTATGAATATGTTGTTTCTGTAATTAAGTGCACTGGCTCGTTGGCATCTTGTTTCTATTTCCTGATCTATTCTTCCATCCTCTTTGGCCCAAAACAGATGCATGTTCTCAACCATCCACCCTAATCCCCAGATATGTCTTCCTGTGACTATTTTATATTCCCAAAATTAAAGTTACCATTGAAAGGACGCTTCTTTGACAATATTGATGGCACCCAAAGGGCCGGAACATCGACTTTAGGGGCCATTATGATAACAGAACTACAGTGGTCGTTCCAGTGTTTGTTAGATCGTGCCACTCGCTGTGTCAATGCACAAGAGGCTTACTTTGAATAAAATACAGGTTATATCTATAACTGTTGATTATTTTAATTTGTATGGAATTAGTCTCATCATTACTTAATTTATAGTGGACTAGGAATTCTGTTGACTTGCATTACTTTAGTTTTAGTAGTATTTATTGTCATGTTATATCTTTTGCATGTTGAACCTAACCTGTTTAAATGTACAGAACATAAAATTACCTTATTTAAAAAACACACACATTACAAACAGCCACAAATTGCTAGTGTTGGTTCTGCAAGGTCCTGTAAATGGTACCCAACTAACTTAGACAATTAATAGTCAGCTTTAAGTTACCCATTTTCATATCCTCTGTCTTCCACAGCTCCTGGAGGCAGAGACCATGAAAGCCATCTTCCAAGATAATGTAGCCTTGTGTAATGAGGTCAGCGACCGGGTGATCCAACATTTTGTCCATAACATTGAGACGCACGGTCGACATGTCCAGTATCTTAAGTTCCTGCAGACAGTGGTCAAGGCAGAAGGAGAGTACATCAGGAGATGTCAGGACTTGGTGATGTCTGAGGTGACCTGTTGCTTTCCTCTTGTCTATTGTATTAATGAAGTTTATTGGATTTTGGATATTGGTAGTCATGTTTATCCACAACCTTGTGTCTCGTTTACTTTCAGTCAGCTATCACACAGATGATCCTCCATGACGTGTGGCGTTGGTAGCCATGTCTATCCACAACCTTCTGTCTCGTGAACTTTTAGTCAACTCTGTCGCAGATGATCCTCCATGCTATGATGTCAAACTGTCCAGCATCTTTTCTCTTGGTCTCCCTCAGCCTCTCTTCCCCTCTAAATGTCCTACTGTCACAATATACAGCAGTTTTCTGCTTCTCATCACATGACCATAGAATATAGATTGTCTCTTTCTGATCAGTTCTCTTGATGAATCAGTTTCTTTCAAGACATCCTCATTACTCTTTTCATCTGTCCAGGGTATTCTCATCATCCATCTATAACTCCACAGCTTCTAAATAATATTTCACTTATTACAGAATCTGTTGTTTGGTCCACTTTATTTAAAATTCACTTTGTTCAGAATTAGTTGTCTGTTCTTCAGCCTGTCAATAGACATAGTGCTTCAGCCGGCCAGGCAGCCGAGGTTGCACAGGCAGAGAAATAGAGGCAGACTAGAAAGAATCCTACTGCTAATCCCTTTCTGCGGTTGTCTGCACTGCTAAAGAACTTTACTGGCTCGTATTAGACTAATCAGCCCCCTTCGTACTCATAATCATTGATCATGACTGCTTTGGATGAAAGTGATCTTCATCACTAATGATGGACGAACAACAGACATTTAATAAAAATAACTTAATTATTTCCGTCCCAGGGGGTTCAACAGAGGACCAAGGGTTGGTAATTCAATATTGAAATGTCACAAGTGTAATGCATTAAAACAGACCATATTATTAATCCGCCCTCACAGTATACTGAGACACCTGCTATATTTTATGTCTTTAACCATGTTTCTGAATAAACCTTATGGTCAAAAAATGTGATATTGAACACAAAGATTAGGTAATACCATTCAAAACTGCCTCTTAGCGTTGTTATATTCATTGACGACGCCAAGAAACGACACCAAGAAACACATTTACATTAACTGGTAAGTTAAATACTTTTACACATCATGTGCTGATTGGGCCACTGGGTAGTAACCAATAAGCACGTGATGCTTTCCTTGGGACTCCAAGAGTTAATACAACTGTAAAAACGGATGAAACCGGATTACAGTATAAGTTAGCCCTGCTCCATGTTTGTGTGTTGTCCAACTGCTTACAGCCTAAAGAATCGCAAAGAGGAGTTTACTGTAGTTTATTGTCTTCTGCTAGTTGCAAAGCTTGTATTGATTTGATTGCATTTCTGTTCTCATGTAGTACATACACCCCAGCCGCTGGCTGATTTTTTTCCCATTCTGACCATTTGATTCTTTGGTGTTGTATGAAATATTTACCAGTACTGAGTCTAAAGTTCTCAGTTTTTTGTTGGTGACTCTGTCTTTCATTTTTTTTCCCTATTTCTTATACATCTCATCTCACATGTTGAAATTTTGTTTTTATGTTTTTCTAAAATTATCCAAGTCTGGCATCGATAGCGTAAACTTGGTACGAATAGCACATTTATCAGCTGCTTTTAGTATGTGCATGTTGGTATGTGTAGGTTAGTTGAAACATTTAACTTTTAAAATGGGCTGCGTGGTCTCAAGGCATTGTGTCCACCTCGAGTGCTAGAGGTTCTGGGTTCAATCCCCGGTAAGGGCTAGGATTTTTTAACATGGACTTGGAATTCTAGTAATTCCCCCTGGTCTCTGGGTAGTGAGATCAGACGCCCGTATGCATTGTTGCGCACATAAAAAAATCCCTTGGCAGTTGGAAATAGAAAAAGTAGCCTAACAGTGCTGCCCTGGCAAAATTTTTAGTAAAAAATCTACCCAAAGTATTTCAGGATCCTTGCCGGTGCTACATAGCCTGTGCACTGCCCTGAGCTTCTTCTGATTCAGACTTGAGTTAGAAGAAGAACAATGGAGCACTAATGGGTTACTACCAGTGTGCCATGATGTTGATCCGTTGTTCAAACCTCAAACCCCAACTTTTGAAAACATGAGATTCACTGTTTTGACGTCGGTATTCTCTTAATGTAGCTTGTGAATGTAGGAGAGGATGTCCTTGTGTTCTACAATGAACCTTCCAGTTTTGAGCACCTGGTGGAGCTGATGCAGTCGGAGCACCATCGTGTCAATGAGCAGAGCCCTCTCAACTACCACATCAACCTGGTTCAGCTGCTGGCCTTGTGTACAGAAGGCAAGAATGTTTACACTGAGATCAAATGTCACTCACTCCTACCGCTGGATGACATTGTCAAGGTGGTGACACACCCTGATTGCATTCCAGAAGTAAGTACTAGTGTTTAAGTCTTTCAGTCCCAAGGGTATGAATGATTACAGACAAATTACACACTGGAAGTAGCCAGTAGGCAAGCCAGATTTTTTTAGTATGCTCTGACCAAAATGAGGGTGAACACATTACGCACTGTCTGGGATTTGAGTGGGGAAAAAAATGTTATACATCACACATTTCTTGGGACTGAAAGAGTTAATATGTGATTGATGTGTCATGGTTTTTGTATTGAAAAGTATAATGTAATTTATGAGAATATTCCCTTGTCTGACTGCCTGTTCTATGAATAATTCCATAAAAGAGTGTCATTTGTGGTTTATGTAATCATTTGCTGTCATTTTAGGCTTAAAAGTCACTGATTATTGCAAAACATGGAAGTCATCATATTTCCCCACTTCCCCACATATCTACACCTCTCTGCAGATGTCTCCATATCTCCCCAAATGTCTCCCCATCTCCCTATATGTCTTCATATCTCCACCAGATGTCTTCATATCACCCCAGATGTCTTCATGTCTCCCCAGATGTCTTCATATCTCCCCAGATATCTCCAAATCTCCCCAGATGTCTACAAATCTCCCCAGATGTCTTAACATCTCCACCAGATGTCTTCAAATCTTCAACAGATGTCTCCATATCTCCACCAGATGTCTCCATATCTCCACTAGATGTCTTCTTATCTTCCCAGATGTCTCCACATCTCCCCAGATATCTTAACATATCCACCAGGTGTCTTACCCTCTCCCCAGATGTCTCTATGTCTCCATGTTTCCATATCTCCCCCAAATGTCTTCATATGTCCCCCAGATGTCATCACATCTCTCCAGATGTCATTATATCTCCCCAGAAGTCTTCATATCTCCCAGATGTCTCTGAATCTCCAAAGATGTCTTAACATCTCTACCAGGTGTCTTAACACCTCCTCAGATGTCTCTGTGACTCTCCAGATGTCTTCATATCTCCCCCATATGTCTTTATATCTTCCCCAGATGTCATCATGTCTCTCTAGATGTCATCGTACCTCCCTAGATGTAATTATATCTTCCCAGATGTCTTAATACATACATATTTTACCAGCCATGCTCTAGCCTAGTAGTTCATGTTTTTCCCCAAGGGTTTTAGTTAAATTGTGAATGACCCTCAACTGAATGCCCAGCAATGAGAGTATCTATAAAAAGGGGTCATGAGGGGAGATACTGTCATGACTAGGCAACAGTGGTGCATTTCAAAAGTTGGGCAGAACTTCTGGAACAAACTATACCTCCTGTGTGAAGATTCATCAGCCGTCAGCAAAATATATACCAATTGCCATGTGGGATGTTATATTCCTCCCATACTGTTATGTGTGAAACACCATTACCTGGAAACTGCTCTGTGGTGAATGTGATATTTCCTTCCCTACCATACAGGTGAAAACGGCCTACATCAACTTCCTGAACCACTGCTACGTGGACACGGAGGTGGAGATGAAAGAGATCTACACCAGCAAGCATATGTGGACCTTGTTTGAGAATTTCCTGCTGGACATTGCCATGGTGAGAGCATGTTATTGTTTCGTTTGTGTTCCTCGGTTTGTGTGGGTTCTTTGGTTCGTGTGGGCTCCGTGGTTCGTGTGGGTTCCGCGGCTCTAGTTTGAATTAATAAAGAAAACCCGCTGTCCTCCTAACAAGTAAAAGTAAAGTACCATTTCCCACGCAGTTAGGCGAATCGGGCATATATGGCTAGACCTAGACCAATCAGCACACTGTGGGGAATGTGGTGAATACTGCACCGGCCACCTTTACTTCCCAGAAATTTACTTTCTAACTATTTAAGCCTGATTCAACCTGGGAGCCTAAGTAGTTTTTGAAATAATCTGTTTCCATGTGGATTTAAGCCCACCACCTTCATATCCTCAGGTGAGCGTTTAGCTCCTTCCTCCTAGCAAGCATTTAATAAACTGTGACTTATTGAGAGTTTGAGGGAATGAAATGTGTTCTTTCAAAAAGTGCAGATATCACAACTTAGCTGTAAACTACAACACACTATACCAAGTACCCTTTTGAGGGTGAAGACAGAAGACAAAATATAATATTTCACAGACAGGAAGACTGATCACTTGAGCACATACTCACAGTGCTATGAAACTTGTGCTTAGTAATAGGAATAGGTAGATGTCACTAAGAAAGATACAGCAGTATTGTCTATATTTAAGAGTAATAAAACTAAATCACTAATGAGGGTCCTCCCTCGTGCTTGTTCTGGGGCCCTTTTGTTGGGAAAACAAGAACAGACCCACTGCCTCCCCAACCAGCATGTCGTAAGAGTCAGCTTAGTGGGGGCTTCCATCGAAGTTTGAGTGCATCTACCTGAGAGGCTAGGAACCAACATTCTGACTACAGATAAGTCAGATCTGTAAAATGAATTTCCATGCAACACTCCGGTTCTGGAACAAAACCTTGCCTCACAGTGCTGCCCCAAACAGAGGTAGTCATGATAATTGAACCCTTTTGCCCCTAAATGAATTTTTAAAAAAAAAAGGGGGGGGGGGGTGTGGGTGATGAACCTGTTGGACACCCCCCCCCCCCCCCTCCCACCCCCCAAAAAAAACTTGTTAAAAATGTATTTATCGACATATTTTTACTTTTTTGTTTTAAAACACACACACGCACGCACACGTGTGCACGAGCGATGGCGAGGGTCACAAGTTAAATAACCCTGTATACTGTGTGTATGAGTTATAATTTGGGTTATCTTCACAACACACTGGACATGTCCATAGGTGCTCAGATTCCCCCTTCAACATATACATCAGCCTCCCGCAGTTAATAGTCCCAATCCTATGTTGATTGACAAGACTTCTTTGTCGTCTGTAGTCTGTTTGCCGTTTTTGAAATCACACAGCAGAACGCTGATAAAAATGCTGAGAGCAGACCGGACACTCGTGCTCGTATTTGTCTGTAGTTGATGTCCACGGTCAAGAACCCCTGCTCCGCTAAGAATCTTACATAAGACATACATATCATAACCCTTGACCTATTAGGGTTGTGGAGGTGTATTGATGGAAGCACTAGCACATAAAACTCACCATCTTTCTCTGTCTTCTGCTTGATAAAAAAATGTATGATAACTTAGTCCTGTCCATTTCTTGATGTTGTCATTCCATGTTCTTCTTTGATCCCCTCTTCTTCAACTACCCCCAAATGTTCCTTGAAGTACAGTCTTTGCAATCGAATCAAGTCTCACCATGAGCTCAAACCAAGCTAGCTTGCGATGTTTTACCACTGCCAAGAGAGGGTCCTGATGTCCCGCAATTGTATATATTTTGTCTCTGACATATTTATAGTTTTGATATATGTTAATCTTAGATTAACAGCAGATAACTGGTAAAAGGACATTCTTCATCCTAACCGAGGAAAGAGTGTTCCGCCATTCTTCTGTGTGTATAAGACACTGTGTGTGTTAGTCTTTAGTAGATGTTTCAACATCATCGCAGACAGCTGACCCTAAAACTGCTCCCGCCCCGTGCCAGTGTAAATCACTTGAAATATCCTTCACTGTCCCATCTGAAAAATATTGACAAATATGTCAGTCACAGCAAAATCTTGAAGCTTGCACACGTAAGGTAAATGCATGAGGAAGCTTCAGATATGCCAACACTGACAGTCCCAAACAGTTGATGAAAGCAGTCAGTTATGAAAGCCACTTGTACATGCAATACTGTTTACATATATTAGTGTATTAGTGTTTATTCAACAGGTGTGTAATGCTACGCATGATCGCAAGCATGCAAACACAGAACTGGAGAATTATGTCACCATCACTGTCATGAGCATCATCACCACTTTCTTCACGTCTCCCGCATCAGACCAGAGCACCAACATACAAGTGAGCAGTCTGTCCCACATCATTATCTCTTTGTCATGGAAAATATGTCGTGTTATCTGTAGTTTTTATACATGATGAAACACTGACTCCGATACATGATGCTCACATTGTTAGGAATACGGTGTACACATTGTACCATCATACATTGTATCTGTGTTCACCTTGTACCATCATACGTTGTGTGCATGTACATGGCGAAACACTGACTCAGATACATGATGCTCACATTGTTAGGTATATGGTGTGCACATTGTACCATCATAAGTTGTGTTTATGTGCATGATGAAATACTGACTTAAATACATGATGCTCAGATTGTCTGTAGCTTATGTCCACTTTGTAGTTTATGTGTAGTTTATGTCTATATTTTATTATGTCTCTAAATAATAGCAAATTTGTCCATATTCGTCACATTATGAGAAAAAGGAAACTAGAACTGTTGTGAGCACTGGAAAGATCAGGGGAAAAAAGAGACAATGAGAGAAGATTCTTGACAGCCCTTTGTCATGGCATTGAGGGGTTTCAACACATGCTGTCAAAGATCGCAGATTGTGGAGAGGCATGATCGACCACCTCAGTCGGCAAGGCGTTTGGTGGTCTTCTTCTTCTTCTTCTTCTTCTTCTTCTTCTTTCATTCACTGTTTGTAAACTGATAATTTACATGCAGACTGTTGGTTCCTTACCTCTCAGGCAGATACACTCTGACTTAGAAGGAAACCCCTAATTACTCAATTCTTGTGAATGCTTATTAGGGTGGCAGTGTATTCTTTCTCTTCCCCCCACACACGCACGCATGCATGTGCGTGCGCATCACACACAAACACACACACACCCACCACACACACCACACACACACACACACACACACACACACATACACAGAGGTCAGTGTTCTTGTCATGCATGTGATGATAAGTCGAGTTCAGTTTCAAGAACCGACATCACAGCACTCTGGAAATTCCCATTTGTGCTCTGTCCCCATCTTCAGTAGTCAACAAAGTTCCAGCTCCAGTAGCAGCCTGCTTGTATGTCCATCTTGCCTTTCCATTGAGTGTAGAGTGATCTATTTGTGCCTCTGCGCTGTTCACTTGCTCCCAGATGACCTTGACAACATCTAGCTGGTCGTGCATCAGTACACTACCAAGTAGTGCAGAACCAGCCAGTCTCTATGCCTGTTCATTTCCCACAACACATGGATAGCCTGAAAAAAATATCCAAAGGATGCCAACTATAAACCTCTGAAGCGATGCATGCCACTCTGCATGGAGCACACATGCTCCACCTTTCTGAGCCGGCTTTGTGGATCACTAAACACGACATGTGTGTGCAGCGGATTCTCCAGCTAGTAAAAAGCTGCAATGACTGCCTCCACCTCCATTCTCAAACTGTGATATCATATACCTGCCTGTGCTGTGCTAAATATGATGATGATATTATGTGTAGTTTATAGTCACATAATTGTAACTGGTTTTGTCTACAGTATCTGTAGCTGTTTGCACATTGTGTATGTTATAAATTCTTTAGCAATTGTATATTGTAAAGAGTAGACAAGAGAATAATTATAGTGTTTGTTCAAAATAAGTTAGGTTATGTTGTAACAAATAATAAGCTCAGTTAGTCAGTGTAACAGCATCCATGTATATTTTGTTTGTTTTACTGTAAAACTTGATGTTGTTTTCTTTTTGTCTGCTAGACCAACCAACCTGTGTTTGTACGGCTGCTTCAAGGAGCCTTTCGCTTGATCCGCTGTGAGTGGCTGGATGGTGCCCAGAAATTCCATGTTGAAGCTTGCATTAGGACCCTTTCCGATACAGGTATTGTGTTTGTTCAGGGAGCATAATAGCAGAGGTGTCGTAATAATTCAGCTGTCATACTACTACCTGCATTAGAAAATGAGCAAGCTGATAAGCTTACAGGTAAAGCTACTGTCCAGGAAAGACAAGCCATAGACCAGGCTGATATACTGAATGCTCTACGAGAAGTAAATGTTTAATATTGAATGTTGAATTAAAAATCGACATCACAGCACTCGGGACATGTCCATAAGCGCTCAGTCCCCATCTTTAGCAGCAAGCCAAGAGTTAAAATTCTGATGTCTGATTCTATATTCGTCTCGCCTTTCCTCTGAGTCTCGAGCATCGGTCAGATCCCCTGGTAACTCCTCACACCGCCTTTCTCCTCAGACTGTAACGATCTGTCGGTGCCGTATCACTGTTTACTCGCTCTCAAAGGGCCCTCACAACATCCAGGTTGTCATACATGAGTTCACCAACAAACGACGCTGAACCGGCTAGTCTATCTGCCTGCTCATTTCTCCACACACTGTAATCACCTGGGGAAAATATCAAAAGGATGCTAACTACCTGGGACTTTTGAAGTGATGCCTGTCTCCACCTTTCTCAGCATGCTCTGTGAGCCAGATTATTTTCTGTGGGTTACAAGAAGTAAAACGGTGAGAAAAAGTGATTGTAAATCTTCAGCCATGACCAGACTGTGAGACAACATGTTAAAAGGGTTGTGGCCAGACAGGAGCAGTATGCAGGAACCCAAAGAAGAATAGACTTCGGGTCAAAATAGAGGAAAGGCTTGGCAGAATGTTAAGCTTCAAAGTTATTTTTGCTGCCGACAGCGCTGTGCTAATGAAGTTTTCAAAAAAGGGCGATAGTCTGGGGTTTCGTTGCCTGTTACAGAGTTTAGTGCTTGGTTGCAGCACTGTGAGCTGTGTTTTCCTGTGGAATGCCTTTCATTTGTGCAGCTGTTGTGTTGTTTTGTTCAGCATGGCTGGTGACCGGTTTATGTGTGAGCTGGTGAAAAACCTTTTGTAAAAATTCTACATGTGTGTATAGTAACCAATTTATCGTGTCCGACTACTTCCATCAACGATACACTGCATTTCTGGTTGCGATTGTTGGCTTTGCCACCTCGAACAACTAAGATACGCATTTACTGCGTGTGCATAATTCTGGATTGTTCCAGGACTAGTTGTTTATTCACCGGTTTTCCATATGCGACAGTGAAGGACATTTCATTTGATTCGCACTGGCACAGGAACGGAGCAAATATGGGGAAACCCGATTGCGGTGAAGTTGAAACCTCGACTAACTAACGAACTAACCAAAGAAGAAAAAGAAACCAACACAGAACTGTTGTCGTGAGTCGCTACACGCTGCCAGATTTACTAGGGAGTGGATCCGAGCACTTAGCAACTGAATGGTTCAATGTGCAATGAGGATAATCTGTCAACAAACTAACTTATTCAGGTATCACATTCACAAGGTCCTTACCAGCATAGGACTGTAGGTTACATCTGGCTGGAGTAGCTTTAAGAGTGTCCTAATTATAACTTCTTTGGAGGTTGAATAGGGAGGGTGTCAGGGATCTGAATTTGCCATCTACGCTTTTGTATTTTACTTATACATAAAACATAAAATGCTTTATTTATAAAGTACAATTGCTGTTTGAAAGACTGAATGTATTTCGGGCCTGCATTCCCAGTTTGTGACCATTTGGAAATAAGAGGTATTCATTGTACATGGTAAACTGTGAAGGAGAGTACTGGTTGTATGTCCACTCATGGACTTTTGATTTTGATCCAGAACTTGAGTTTTGCATGCACATCCGTTGTACAGATCTGGTTTATTTGTATGCAGACTGTTGGTTCCTCTCAGGCAGATGCACTCCTTCTTCGAATGCATGTGGCAAGAAGTATGGACAGAGCAGGTATCATCAACGATGTATGGATTGGGCTAGTGGATAATGATGAATCTCTGACATTAACACGATTGTGTGACATGGGAGTAAAGCATGGTGAAGCATGCCGTTGCCACCCACAAGGCCGAGATAGGAGACATTATAACCATCCTTTCATGTGAACACTTAGAAGAAATGCTTTAGAGTTTTAGAGTAGCTGCTTCATCGGAGAACTGAGCATGCTTGAGAATGCCCAATGTGCAGTGGTGTCAATTTTGATAACGTAACTCCTTCTTAGAAGAAAATATACCTGTTTAGTAGCCTTGTACAATGTGCAGAGGTGTGGATTGTGATAACATAATGTAACTCCTTCTTTGAATAAAACACCCCTTTTGCTAGCCTTGTACAAAGTGCAGTGGTGTCAGTTATGATAACATAATGTAACTTCTTCTTCAAAGAAAACATCCCTGTTTAGAAGCCAGGTATGATGTGAAGTGGTGTTGATTGTGATAACATAACTCCTTCTTCGGAGTAAACATACCTGTTTAGTAACCTTGTACGATGGGCAGTGGTGTCAATTGTGATTACATAATGTAACTACTTCTTCAAAGAAAACATCCCTGTTTAGAAGCCAGGTATGATGTGAAGTGGTGTTGATTGTGATAACATAACTCCTTCTTCGGAGTAAACATACCTGTTTAGTAACCTTGTACGATGGGCAGTGGTGTCAATTGTGATTACATAATGTAACTTCTTCTTCAAAGAAAACATCCCTGTTTAGAAGCCAGGTATGATGTGAAGTGGTGTTGATTGTGATGACATAACTCCTTCTTTGGAGTAAACATACCTGTTTAGTAACCTTGTACAATGGGCAGTGGTGTCAATTGTGATTACATAATGTAACTACTTTTTTGAAGAAAACATCCCTGTTTTGTAGCCTTGTACAATGTGCTTGTTAGGGATGCTGTAGGTCTATGTTTGCCCCAACCTCCTTCCACAAATGGGAGATTGCAGCCATGACTTGATCTTTTGTTGTGTCCAGCCAAGAGCCGCAGTATTGCCATCCCGGTGGACCTGGACAGCCAGGTGAACGCCTTGTTTGAGAGATCCAACATCGTGCAGAAGTCCACGGCAAGATGGTTGAATGTGAGGCAGAACCGCCGCGAGTCTCAGGCACATACTTCACGGGACTACAGGAATATCATCGAAGGTTTGCAGGTGAGAACATTATTAGGTTTTATATACTAGGTTTGGCATGGCAGCAGATTATGTAGTTGCAGAACAGAGTAAATACAGGCAGCTGTAGATGAGATACTGTTATGAGATGCTGTCATGTGGTCTGTAACTCATTTGTTTGCTATTTTATGATTGTGTCAGTTAACTAAACCTGCTTCTATCATATTTTTCTTTCTTAACCCTTTCGCTGCTACGTTCCCGGAAATAGTTGTCCTCCCTGTGCTAAGCAATGTGAAAAAAAAAGTCTCTGCTGTGCGCAATACTTTTCTATCCTCTAAACGCAAAAGATGCGTCCGCGGTGAGGGCTATGTTTTGTACTCCTAAAATATTTTACCCTGGGGAGTTGTGTGGTTGGTCCGAGTGGTGACAAGTCAGAGGCACAATGGTGCCCCACAAACTTGACTAACGGAGCTATCACCCTTCGGTGCTGAAAAGTAGCAGGAACTCAAAGGAAAATTTACAATTAATAATTAAAAAAAAAATTAAAAAAAACTTCGGGGGTTGAACACACGACCCTCTGATTCTAAGGCGAACGTGATACCAATTACACTATGCTACCCCTTGACGCATTGCGCTGTGTAAATGATCATAATGAATGATTTGCGCAAACTATCAATAATGTGTCTAAGTTTGTAGTCTATCGCCGCCTGCATGAGCACTGTTGTCTAAGAAATGTTTGAGATTCTCAACAATAGTAAAAATATGTCCCTCAACATTATTTTACGGGAGTTTTTAGCAAACAGTCTTTGCTCAAGTACTCTATTTTGAGTTTCTTTGTTCTAAGCATTAGCAGACAGACAGGAAAAAAAAAATTAGTTCGTCCGAATCTGTGTCTGTCCATCGGGAAAGATGAGAAATTTTAGTGACTTAACTGTTTGAATTTACAGTAGCAGAAATACAGATAGAGCTGGAGTCATCAAAATCATGCACTACTGGTTTCAAATTATCGGTTTATCAAGATAACTGATCAATTTATTGCCGTTTTGATGGCGCTTCATTGTCGCTGCTCTCTGATTCCGACGATAAGGACGTCGGACAGGCAAACAGCTTTTTTTGGACACGCCGGTTTCAGCAGTCGATACTGATGGCCTAGTCAAATCTTCTTGTTCACTGTCAGAAGTACACATTTCAAAGTCATTGTCGCTATCACTTTTGACAGAAACTCCATCAATTCTTCATCAACTTTAACAAGTTTTCTTGCCATTTTGTACTAAGTGTAGAATAATCCAAAAGCACAAATATATATCAGGGCACAAAATACACAGATCACCGACCACGCTGTCACGGAAAACAAAGCAACGGGATAACGCAAAATGCAGAAAACATGTCTTAAACACACCTATAAGTATGTGCCAGTGCTTTTAATCATATGTAAATGGGTCAGTTTAATCTAAATATAGCTAATGTATATTGCCCTTCAGCCAATAAAATACGAGGTAACAGAAATCTGTAAGAAAAGTCCAAAAACGGCTTAGGACGTCCATAGCACTGGGGGTCAAGAAAAAAAATAACGTCCAAAGATGGGCGTAGCAGCGTACGGGAAATCGGGAAAAGACGTCCATAGCAGCGAAAGGGTTAATAACAGTGTGATTTTGTCAGGTCTTTCTGATCTTTCCCAGTAACCGAATCTTGGTTCTGTCATCTGTATCTTTCGTGGTAAATTAATCACCAACATCTTCTAAAATCAAATGCTTTGTCTTATGACACCAGGTTCTGGGATCACATTGTGGGCAAAACAAGAATAGACCCACTGCTTCCCCAACAAGCAAGTGGTAAGAGGTGACTAATTGGGGGTATTCTTTGAAGCAGAATACATCTGCCTGAGAGGCAAGGAACCAAGAATCTGCATAGAAATATCCCAGATGTGAAACAGATCTGCATGCAACACTCATGTTCTGTAACTTGACTAAATTTCAGAAGTGGACAAACATCCAGAACTTTTCGCTGAAGTTTACAGTCAGTGAACATGAAGAAGAAGAAGAAAGAATAACACCTAGATCACAGGATAGATAACACTGATAAGACTCATTGTCATATGCCTTTGAAACCAGGAATACACTTAGAAGAGATGAAGCCTTTTTACAATTTTCTGAGAGCAGTCTTATGACTTATCTTTGGAGTCAAGAAAGATGCAAACAGAAAAGACTGGATAGTGAGAAGCAACAACAAAATTCCTAATCTGCTTAAGCCTTTTGCTTTCATAAAAATCTGGGAAAAAATGGCTTTCTGGAACTTGACTAGTATTAGAAAATGTTGCCACTGTTTTAAATCCAGAACTGCTGTTTTTGTAAGTTATAGTGTTGATCCTTTGGTTTTCCTAATATGTCTTTTTAAGCTACTAAAAGGGCAATGCATCTTTCAATAACTATAACCAGAACAGTCTCTTGAGGAGTTCTGATTGCCCGTATCAGAAAGAGACAATCTACTTTCTTTGATGATGTCATGAGAAGGAAACAACTTGAGTAAATCGTGATGGTGAGGACGATTTAGGGTAAAAGAGGCAAAGGGAGACCAAGAGAGAAGATGCTAGACACTTTGACAACATTGCATGGAAGATCATCCGTGTCAGAATTCATAGACATTAAACAGGACAGAAGGTTGTGGATAGACATGACTATCTATACCACACTGTATGGACCGAAGAAAAAAAAAAGGAGAAGAATAAGAGCAGTAAGTTGAACATTAAATGGGATGAATTCAAGAGGGGTAAATAAAATTTTAAAAATATATATATATATATATATATATATATATATATATATATATATATATATATATATATATATATATATATATATATATATATATATATATATATATATATATATATATATATATATATATATAAATAAACAGAAGACTAAATGTCTAGACAACCAATGGTAACAGCAGTTAAAAGCTACAATAGATGGTGCTATATTTCACATGCCCAGGAAAGAAGTAAGCAGACAATCACCAAACAGACACTGAAGTGGGAAGCAAATGGATTTTACAAATGGGGATGTCCAAGAGAAAGCTTAAAATGAACATTGATTAGAGAGGCCAGAGCTGCTGGACTGGATTCCATCCATGATTATTGAAAGGATTGTACAAGATAGAATGAAACGGAAGAACAGACTGCAGCCCATGTGTGACATATAATGGCACAACAGGATACGGGTGATGATAACAGTAGATACATGCTGAGTGTAGATATATCCACAGATTTGTGATGATGGGCTAAATGGCTGTGAGCTCTGATCCACTCCCAGAGACCATATGTGTTAGAGTATTGAAATAACCCATCCATACTTGGCAGAGCACAACATGTCCCACATTATTGCATGCATTTAACACATCCATACCTTTGTGGCTTTGACCTCATTGCAGCAGCAGCAGCCACATGGCCCGTATCCACAGACGTGGATGCAGCAAAGTGACCTGGAGGTCCTAGCACCAGAAGAACTGTCTGAGTTTGAGGTGTCATTCATAGAGTAGTCACCCAGACCTGTGTAGCCCTAACATTTAGTTTTAACCTTAACCAGAACTCCGCCTCCTCTGTGCTGTATGACCTTACCCAGATTGCTTGGCTTCTCTGTGACTGACAGTGTCTCTCTAGGGTTACTGTCATCATTGTCTGTGAGCGTAAATATTACCTTTCCATTAATGTGGACACCTGGTGATAAATATTAATGAAATTAATTGTTTTAGTCTATTGAAACCAAGTGATAATTATTACCCTTCCATTAATGTGGACACCTGGTGATAAATATTAATGAAATTAATTTAATTGTTTTAGTCTATTGAGACCAAGTGATAATTATTACCCTTCCATTAATGTGGACACCTGGTGATAAATATTAATGAAATTAATTAATTTAATTGTTTTAGTCTCTCTAGACCAAGTGCTAATTTTTACCCTGCCATTTATGTTGAGGTTTTTTTAATGAGTATCCCCCCCGGGCCCCCCCCCCCCCTTTTCTCCCCACATTTTTTTTTTAAATCTGTAAAGAAGTGTTGATGAATATTACATGTCTTTTTATGTGCAGTTTAGCAATAAAATATGATCCCCTCCAAATGCGCTGAAAGATCTTTGTACTCATTTCATCTACTAATGTTGCATGACCTAGTTCCTGTTAGTCACTGCTACCCCAGATTGTTCTTTAGTTTCTTGATCTCTGATCTATCCTACATTATATTGCCTTTCTTTGTCTTTACCCTGGGAACCCACCGGGTCGTAAAAATAAAGGCATTCCAAAAATATTTGGAGAAGAGAGCTAGAGAGTGAAGTTTAAAAGATGGGGAGGGCTGCATGAAATAGTGAAGGATAGAATGACTTGGTCTGAGTTGGTTGAGGGCTTTTGCTTCACTTGCAGGACAGAAGAAGAAGAATATTGATTTTCATGTTTTAACCCTTTCGCTGCTAGGCACTCCGCCAGCAGACGTTACCACGGTGCTAAGCTAGTTCCCCCTGAATTTTCCCTCTGTGCTGAATACTTGTCTATCCCCCAAACGCAAAAGATAGGTCAGCGGTGAGGGGTCTATTCTGTACACCTGAAAGTATTTACCCTAGATAAGTGGGTGATGGTCCCAGTGATGACAAATCAGAGGCACTATGGCCAAGAAACACATTTACAGAAAGGAAACACTAGAAACTTGACTTATTTCCCCGGCTTCACTCGGGATAGTGCAACTGGTATATAAGTGCACTTACTTTCTGACATCTGGTTTCTATTTGTCTGTCAATTCTGCCATCTTCTGTGATCATATTTCCTAGATATTCAAACCCCCTAACTTGATAGAAAATGTATCCTGGGCTAAGTCTCCACTGCTACCACATGTGTAGTAGAAACTCCACGACAGAGGGAACACAACAGTAGCCTTCCGATCATCAACAGGAACTTTGAATGTTTCAACCACTGTACATTCCTTGCAGATGGATATTGCAAGACAATTGTTGTTCTTCCTGATTCTACTTCATCGTTGTCTCAATCATTGCCATGTGTTTAGTTATTGCCCCGAGTACATTGTGGAGGGGGGGGGGGGGGGGTTAGGAAAGAACTGATCTAGGAGAAAGTACACATGTCACCGTGAAAAAATCCATCTCATAACTCACACATTTTTTAGCAGTCTACTGGGCTGACGTGTATATACGTCCATAGCAGCGAAAGGGTTAAAAATGTAATTTTTGTTTTCTCTTGAGTTATAACTGAATTTTGCATGTATGGTTTTTTATAATTGCCCTTCTAAATTTGTGGTGACCTGATGGTAAACATTACCCTTTTATATGTTTGTAGAACCTGGTGACACCATTTTTTATGTATGGAGAAAGTTTACTTCAGTGTATTGGAAATTTAACTTGTATATGAAGAGGTGACTGTTATCAGGAGAAATTGTGTATGATGGGACTGGCTGTATGTATTGTCAGATGACATATGATAGTAGAGGCACAGGACCCTTTTCCACATCTTTAGTCGTGTAGGACTTATAGGTCTTGACCTATATTTTATGGACCAATCGGCCCTGGGTGGGCGATGTGATCAACATCACACCGGCCTTGTTTACTTCCCAGGACGGGGCCGCATTAGCGCAGTCAATAGGAGACTCGCTTTCAAATCCAGCTGCGACTCGCTGCAGCCCACGGCCGATGTTCGAAACCGGGTGGTTCCTGGGGTTCACCCAGCCTCTAGGAAATGGGTACCAGAGTTTACTCTGGGGTAAATGGAATAACGTTGCTGTAGCTACAGAGTTGCGTGCCGATGGCGACACAGGAGGACAGTTTCTTATCAGCTGTCCGTTCTGGTGGCAGAGCACATGGTTTATAACCGTGTGCAATGACGCTGGTTCACATCTCCTGACTTTTGCTTTACTTCCCAGGACTTCACATGGTACCCATTATAGTCAATCTGGGAGCCAAGGTCATGTTTGTCTAACCCCATCAGGACCTGAACCGATGACCTTTGGATCCGCAGGCGAGTGTCTAGCCGCTGCCAATGTATGACAGTGTCTGACATCTACACGTGCACATGTATAACATAAAGTCAGCCTAGCTTCCTCTGCTATAGAGAAAAGGAAACCGTACACTCAGGTTGACCCGGGGGATCTGGCCAACACTCTGAGGTTGACCAGGGGATCTGGCCGACACTCTAAGGTTGACCAGGGGATCTGGCTGACACTCTAAGGTTGACCAGGGGATCTGGCCGACACTCTAAGGTTGACCAGGGGATCTGGCCGACACTCTAAGGTTGACCAGGGGATCTGGCTGACACTCTAAGGTTGACCAGGGGATCTGGCCGACACTCTAAGGTTGACCAGGGTATCTGGCCGACACTCTGTAAGGTTGACCAGGGGATCTGGCCGACACTCTACACTCAGAGGAAAGGTGAGAGGGATATACAAACAGACTACTACCTGTACCATCGTAGTTGCGACCCTTTGCTGGCTGCTGATGATAAGGATGTAGTGCATATGGGAATGACTGCATTTCTGTAATGATGGTTCAGATCATAGACCACATAAGCCACTAATTGACTGATTGTCCATGCTGACTGTTCGCGTCCATACATTAGACTTGTGTCTGTGCAGCTCTGAAGAAATCCCTCACCTCAGAGAGTGTTGCTTAGCATACAGCTACCTTGACTTATGACAAAGTTTCATTTCGACTTACAGGTCATAAGTGGAACTGGTCTTAAGTCGAATTTATATTTTTCATTCCAGTTAGTTAGTTGTGTATCCTTTACAGGACGATGCAGAACTAAACCCAGCATTTTTTTGGGCTGTTGTGGTTTTTCTAGTTAAATTTTACATTCAGTAGTTTGTCATTGCTTTCTGAATGGATTTTCATTTATGCGGGTTGTAAAAATAGTCTGCCATAAACAAACAGACTTTGATGTTTAGACCCTGTGGCATTTGAGACATCAGTTCCTGTAACTTTTTGACCTTACCTGTGCGGTCATCTTTCTTTGTTTACTATTTTGGTTTATTTATTTTTTGTGTTCGTTAAGTGCGGATCATCGTAAGTGGCATAGATCGTAAGTTGAGGCAACGGTGTATTATCCGTGTGTTTAAATATTGCTGTTTCTTGAGCTGTTCTACCTGCACTTGCTAGGCCTCTGCAAACCACCAGTTGAATAGCGCAGATGTATACTCACATTTGAAACATCTGTGACAAAATAAAATCTAAGGGAAAAAAAATCTTTTTTCCAACTTGTCCACTGTAGTATCCCCATAGAAACTGTGTTTGTAGTATCTATCCCAGTGTTTCCCAAACTTTTCTTGGCAGCACCTATTTTTTTTTTTTTTTTTTTTTTTTTTTCCAATCAAAATGTGCCCAAGGCACCCTAAACTATGACTATTTGTGTCTTGGTTACATTAATTATGAAGCTTTTACAATATTTCGCTCTGTCCCTGTGAAGAAGTTGCGGTTCTCCGAGGCGCTGCGGCGCACAGTTTGGGAATCACTGATCTATCTTGATATTTTGTGCTTTTATCAATCACTTTGCTTGTATGGCTGTATGTACCTGGTTTCTTATCACAAGGTTATTTTGAGGTAATCTCCCCTTCCTGTGTTTATAATTGGTTAGGTTCAAGTTAGTTTCCCACAAAACAAAGTAATTCACGTTTCATTCATGCAAAAGACACTGGACCAGGGCCTGATGGAGTCAGGTATTGCCACATGAAGGCTTTGAGTGATATGGACCTGGCAGAGATGGCTGACTGTTTTAACCAGAGCATTAAGACAGCAACAGTACCACAGGACTGGGTGCACAGCTATCTAATCCCACTACCAAAACCTTTTAAGGATCATTCAAAGCTCAGTGACTTTAGAATTATCACCTTACAAAACACATTTGGGAAGGTCTTGGAGAAGATAGTTGCTGTAGAGCTGCAAGAATTTTTGGAAAGGGAGAAGCTTCTCTTAAGAGGTCTGGGAAGCTACAGGCCAGGAAAGGACACATGGGCAAATGTGGCCACTTTTGCATTTGACGTCTATGAAGGGTTCAAGAACAGACAGGAAACTGTGGCGGTAGCGCTGGATCTCGAGGATGCTTATAACAGAGTAAGATACAACATCTTGATGACTGCACTGAAGGAGAAGGAGGTCAGTCCATGGCTGGTGAATTGGATTGCATCTGTCCTGTAATCATTTTGGGTTGCTCTTTGACTGGGTTCATGGACTTCAGAACCATGCAGTTTGGCCCCAGACTGCCTCAGGGATCCGCCATCTTGCCTGTGCTCTATAACATGTATACAAGCAAGATTTTAAGCCTAGAAGTACCAGGTCTTGGAAGAAAACTTACTTTTGCGGATGATATACTTGCATGTAGGCAGGGGGAAGAGAGGGAACATACAGCCCGGGAGCTACAAGTGAGAGTAGACAATGAGGGCTGTCGTCCACCCGGAAAAGGGGTCTGTTTTATGGTGTTCTCTGGACAACAGGATCGTTAAAGCTAATGCCCTAAGTCTCATGATAGATGGTA